CAAATGCTTTAAATGCCAAGGATTTGGCCACATTGCTGCAGACTGTCCTACACGAAGGGTTGTCACCATTCGAGAAGGATCAGGGTATGAAGCACTTGAAGAAGATGAGGAGGACGTTGAGTTCTACGGCACTGATCCTGTATATGACGAGGAGGTCACACCTGCTGATCAAGGAGAAGCATTAGTGCTTAGACAAAGTCTGCATACAACAATAGTCAAAGAAGAATCTTGGCTACGATGCAACATTTTTCACACTCGTTGCACAGCCCAAGGAAAAGTTTGTAATGTCATCATTGACAATGGAAGCTGTGAAAATGTAGTATCTGACTACATGGTGGAGAAATTGAAGTTGCCAACACAAGATCATCCGCAACCTTACAAGCTTCACTGGCTCAACAAAGGGAATGAGGTAAAAGTTTCTAAACAATGCCTTGTGACCTTTTCTATTGGGAATCAGTATTGTGATAAAGTTTTATGTGATGTTGTTCCCATGGATGCATGCCACCTTCTCTTGGGGAGGCCATGGCAATATGACCGACATGCTATGCACAACGGGCGAGTGAACACTTATTCTTTTATGAAAGATGGTGTCAAGTTCACACTAGCGCCTCTACCACCCAATGAGATTAGTCAATCTTCAAGGGAATTGACTAAAGAGGAATTCAAGGTATCAAAATCTGAAGCTCAAATGATGAGCTTTATTCTGGTGCTTCCACGGATTAGCTTCTTTCTACAGGAGGTTCATTCGTAATTTTAGTTCAATTGTTGCACCACTTACAGATTGTACCAAAGGAGAGAAGTTTCAGTGGATAGAGCAAGCTCAGAAAAGCTTTGAGGAGCTTAAGAAGAAGTTGACTGAAGCTCCAGTCCTAGCTCTTCCTAACTTTGACCAAGTGTTTGAAGTTAGTTGTGATGCTTCTAACACCGGGATTGGTACTGTCTTAAGCCAGGAGAGCCATCCTATTGCCTTTTTTAGTGAGAAGCTTAATGATGCCAAGCTTAGATATTCTACTTATGATAAGGAATTCTATGCCATTGTTCGAGCTCTCCAACATTGGAGTCATTATCTCCTGAATAAAGAGTTCATACTTTTTTATGATCATGAGGCTCTCAAGTATTTGAATTCCCAGCAGAAGATCAGTCACAGACATACTCGTTGGAGTGAACTCTTACAGTCTTATTCATTCCTTATCAAACATAAGGCTGGAACTTTGAACTCCGTAGCTGATGCCCTTAGTCGTCGCCATGTGCTACTTACAACACTATAAACCAAGGTTGTTGGATTTGACCTTGTCAAAGAGTTGTATCAGGATGATCCTGATTTTCGAGGAGTGTGGGAAGCAACTGTAAATCAACCTTTCCACCAGTTCTACAGACAAAACAGGTTTTTATTTCAAGGTAAAACCCTCTGTATTCCACAGGGTTCCTTGAGAGAAGTCATAATTTGGGAAACACATGACGGTGGATTAACAGGACATTTTAGACGGGATAAAACAGTTGACCTGGTGAAGGAGAACTTTTACTGGCCTCGACTTGAACGAGATGTCAACAGGCATATACAAAGATGCAGGATTTGTCACTTGGCTAAATCCAAAGGTCAGAATACCGGACTGTACATGCCTCTGCCAATTCCAGAAGCATCTTGGGAAGATATAACTATGGATTTTGTTCTGGGTTTACCACGGACTCAGAGGCAAAAAGATTCTATCATGGTAGTTGTGGATCGTTTCTCAAAAATGGCCCATTTTGTTCCATGCCAGAAGACTAATGATGCTGTTCAAGTAGCAGACTTATACTTTAAGGAGATTGTGTGTCTTCATGGCATTCCCAAGACTATCACTTCTGACCATGATGTGAAGTTTCTCAGCCACTTTTGGCGGACACTATGGAAGAAGATGGGAACTAAGCTCCAGTTTAGCAGCACTAGTCATCCCCAGACAGATGGCCAAACTGAAGCAATAAACAAGATTCTTGGTAATCTTCTTCGTAGTTTCGTGGGAAAGAATTTGAAGCAGTGGGATCTCATTCTTGCTCAAGTTGAGTTTGCTTATAATAACTCTGTCAACCAAGCAATTGGGAAGTGTCCGTTTGAAGTTGTTTATGGCACTCGTCCCCTTAGTCCACTAGACTTGACCCTTTCACTTGATAAGCAGCAATACAGCTTTGATGCTGACCAAAGGGCCAAGGAAATTAAGAAGTTGCATGAGCAAGTCCGCGAGCGAATCCAAAAGCAGAATTTGAGATACAAAGCTCAACGTGACAAGCATCGAAGACAAAGACTTTTAAGGTAGGAGACTTGGTTTGGATACATCTACGAAAGGAACGATTTCCTAAACAGCCAAACACCAAGTTGTCCCCAAGAGCTGATGGTCCGTTCAAGATAGTGCAAAGGATCAACAACAACGCTTACAAGGTGGAATTACCTGGTTCTTATGGTGTATCTGCCACCTTCAATGTCACTGATTTATCTCCGTACGTTGATGAAGATGATGAATTTGACTCGAGGGCGAGTTCTTCCCAACCCGAGGAGGATGAAACGGAAAGAGCAGAAACGAGCTAAGACGGAAGGCACACACATAATGAAGCAGAAACGGGAGACACACATAATGGAGCATCATAAACTCTTTGTAACCTCCCCTTAATTTCTGTAACTCCCTTTTAAATTTGTATGGTTCAGTTTCACGAATTCTAGGACTATAAATAGGACCCTTGTGGCTGTGAAAGAAGCAGACTTGAAAGAATAAGAATTGCTTGTTTTTCATTCAGTTTCTGTGCCAAATCATCAAATCCAAGAACGAAAGTTAAGATCATTGGCTCGAATTTACATCTGTTCTTCCAAAGCAACCAGCATCTGAAGCCAAAAACTTGTGTCAAAGACCATAATATATAAACATTTTGATATTTCCGTTCATATAAATCTAAATATTTTCAATCATGTTCAAGACATGTGCACCGTCCATGAACAAATAATTAATTCGTGGCCATTGCATGATTCAATTATTAAATACCATGGTAAAAATATAAAAATATCTATTTGGTTTAGTTATGAAACTATTGGGTTCTATATAATTTACAATTCTTGCATGAAGTTTGGGAGAAGATTTCAGTGTTCAACAATGAGTATAGCACATGATTTGGTTTCGTTTTGCCTTACCCAACACGAGGAATGCTGATTAAACAATAATCAAAATAAAAAATATATATTTCTAATTATTTAAAAAAAAGGTTATGAGTAAAAAGTCTTTTTTAATATAACCAAAGCAAAATCTCTAAATAATATATGACCTTTTTAAAACAATTTGAAACTCATTTGTTTCTCTTAAGCCTAGCATAGTATTTGGTACAACAAAAGAAAGGAGAAGAAATAAATTTAAAAGAAAGGAAGGAGATGAGAATGGAGAGGGATAAAAAGCGAACAATTATGCCCCTACCAACATTTAAAAAAAAAAATCAATAAAAATTGTTTATAAATATATGAAAAAAATAAATAGGAGCTAGATTCTTATCATATAAATCAACAAACAAAAGATTGTTGCGCCCAAGAGGTGAGTTATATATGGTTGTAAAATCAGAGTTCATATAAAGGGTATGCGTGGGTAATCTAGTCAAGAAAATTGTTAGCTTCTTTTATATTTGGCGTATGGTTGAAAAAACGACGGAGCAATCACTCATGATCAAATCTTTTCGTCATCTTATGGACAAGGGAATCCACCAATGTCCAATCATATCAAAATATTTCCAATCATTTATCAAACTGGATCATCCATGAAAAGAAAGAATCGGTGGTATTCATTATTCAACACATCAATGCCCTTCGCCACAAGAGAATAAATCTATTTGGTCTAATTTTGATACCCTTGGCAAGTACACACAGACACATATATGTCATAATTCCAGGCAATATTTACATGAACTTTGGGAGAAACAAGAGTTCAGAGTTAAAAAATGAGTAGAACACATGTTATGGTTTTGCCTTGCCCAGAACAAGGCCATATTAATCCTCTTATGGTGCTTTCACATGAACTGGTCAAACATGGCATCAAAATCACATTCGTGAACACTGATTTTAGCCACGAGAGAATCATGAAAGTTCGGACAACAAGAGGTGAAGAAGAAGGACAAGTGGGAAATGATTTGATTTAACTGGTCTCAATCCCAGATGGCCTGGAACAAGATGAAAACAAGGATCGTCATCGTGTGGCAAGATTAATGGAATCAATGTGGCAAGTCTTGCCAAAGGAGCTGGAAAAGCTGATACAAGAGATAAATGAATCATACAGTGAAAAAATAAGCTGTATGGCTGCAGAGGGGCCATGGGATGGGCACTTGAAGTTGCAGAGAAGATGCGAATCCATAGAGCTGTATTCTGGCCTGCTTGAGCTTCACTCTTGGCTAAGGTTCTCAGCATCCCAAAACTGCTTCATGATGGAATCATTGACAGGAATGGTGAGACCTTGTGCTTCAGTATTTATTTTTTACTTCTGCTACATTATTTTCTTTCACATGTTGGGAATCATTACATAATGTTGCAATAGAACTTCAGATCACCTTATTGATGATTAATTAAAACACGATGGGTATTTAGACTTAAATATATAAAAAGTGATGAAACTATTTACGGTTCCTCACTTGAATGGTTTCTGACATAGTAATCAAGCCTTTGACATGTATGTTTGACATTATAACTAAGCTATTTGTACATAAGAAAACTTTTCATAAGCAATTAACCTTTTTACTTGATAGCTTAAATTATAAGTTGTATCAAATCTATGTATCCGAACTATTAGAGTTTCTGAACTAATTTGTACTCTCTATTCTAGGAACACCAACAGAAGATCAGATTATTCGTTTGGCTCCAGAGATGCCTGCTGTGAGAACAAAACATTTTCTCTGGACACACATTTGTAACAACTTGAATGTACAAAAAATTTTGTTTAACTTCACATTGAGGGGGAACAAAGCACTGGAAACCACAGACTGGGTGATCTGCAACTCAACACATGAACTTGAGCCTTCAACATTTTCTCTCTCCAAAAATTCTTCCTGTAGGTCCACTTCAAGCAAGAAAGAGCAACCATATTGATCATTTATCTGGATCCTTTTGGCCAGAAGACTCAACTTGCATGAATTGTCTTGATCTACAACAAGCTAAATGAGTTATCTATGTTGCTTTTGGAAGTATAGCTATAACTGATCATACCCAGTTGCAAGAACTAGCAGTAGGACTTGAACTCTCAAATAAGCCTTTTCTATGGGCTGTAAGATCAGATATCAACAAAGCAGCAAACTATGACTTCCTAAAAGAATTTGAAGAGAGATTGTCTTCTCAAGGGAAGGTCATCGGTTGGGCTCCACAGCAGAAAGTTCTGAATCATCGTTCAATTGCTTGCTTCTTAAGCCACTGTGCTTGGAATTCTACCTTAGAAGGTGTCATTAATGGAGTGCCTTTCTTCGCTGATCAATATATTGATGAGGCCTATATTTGTGATATTTGGAAGGTCGGGTTAAGGCTTGGTCGAAACGATGGGGTCATTAGCAGAGAAGAAGTAGCATCTAAGATTAATCAAGTGTTCCATGACGAGGAATTCAGAGCAAGGGCTTTAGAGCTGAAGGAAAAAGCCATAAGTAGTGTCAAAGCTAAGAAGGTGACAGCTCAAACAAGAATTTGAAGAACTTTGTTGATTGGCTTAAAGCATAAAGAAAATATTGCAACCTTATAAATGAAATGTAATATGACAAAAGGAAAAAGAGGACATGCTTTGTTCGACATGTGACATCGGAGAATGTAGCTAATAATTTTATCAGGGCATAATACAACGTCACTGTAAGAAGTGTGCGGAAATTCATTTTAAGCTAATGGATTTTCTTGAGAGTCGTAGTTTGTTTTTATGCTTTTTTCTTGTTTTAAAGTAATCTTATTGAATTATTTTTCCATCATATATAAACCAAGTGACAAAAAAGTAATAGATAACAATGAACCTGAGTTCACTGATGCCAGTCAATAAATTCTAGTTTTTCTGTCACAAGCAAATAGTCTGCAACTCAGAATAAAAAATATAAGCTTCTCTATCTAATACTTGTAGTTCTTAAATTTACAATACTTAAAAAATAATTCCAAAGGAACTTGTAATAATTCAAAGAGTAAAATTTAAGTATTATAATAATGTTCTGAATGCACATCATTTTTACTCTTTGATAATAATGCGTATATGGGTTCCAAGTTCCTTGTTACAATAATGTTCAGTCTGAGTTGTGGAGCACCTTGGTAATAATGTTCAGTCTCAGTCACCCTCGAACATGCATTCTGAATGCATTATATTCACATATGAAGTTAAATTTGAGATCATTCAGCTAATAAACGGGCCCTGAAGCAGCTCATGAACGTTTATGTCATGGGCTGGGTCTTCTTTCTGGTCCGTCATTGAAGCAATGTAGCAATGGAGCGTACACGTGGCAAACATGCATGCTTGGTCGAGATGATTTCAGAGTAGCCATGGACATCTTTCTAATTAACGGCAGAGGCATGCATCAGTGAACCGAACCTCAACCTTGAGTCTCAAATCTCAATGGTGAAAATGAACATCTTGAGCTGGAACTGTGAGGGTTTGAGAGCTCCTGCAACAATTCAACGGCTTAGGAAGCTCCTATGTAACTATTCACCTACAGTGCTATTTCTCCTGGAAACTAGAACCACTGTTGATAGAATAGTTTCTAAGTATCGCTCTTTTGGATTCTCTTGTGCATGTGGGTGTGACTGTAATAGGAAAAAAAAGTGGAGGGTTGTTTCTGGCTTGTTCCTCTTCGGTAACCTGTAATATACTGGACATTACCCCTCATTGGATCCACCTATCATTGAAGGAGAATGATGATGAGCCTTTGGTGTATTTGACTGGTGTGTATGGTTTTCTTTCTCTCTCGTCTGGCTATGTTTTATGGAATCGGATTATGCAGCAAAATGCATGTTTGTCTGGTCCATGGTTGTTATTAGGAGGTTTTAATCAGACTGTGTGGGACTGAAAAGCTAGGAAAAGGTCAGGATCTGCGAGGAGTGGATAAGTTTTTGTGATTTGGTGAGTAGCTGTAAACTGGTTGATTTAACTCCTAGAGGTAATTGGTTTACAAGGAGGAAAGAAGATCAGGGCAAGATGATTAAGTATGGGAACGATTAGATAGGGCTTTGTGTAATACTGAATGACTGGTACGATATCCGGGTAAGAATTTACAAACGTTGGCGATTGCAGCTTCGGATCATTCTCTGTTGATGGTTTCCACGACCAGGTCTCTCTCTAAAGGACCACAAATGTTCAGGTTTAATAAAGCATGGGTCCAATTCCAACAGCGTCATGAGATTGTTGACCAAACTTGGAAAAATCTCATCAAGGGTGATGGACCCATAGCACGAATGACATGGTGTTAATAATAATGAAGCTTGAGGATAATAATCATGAACATAGTAATATGAAAGAAGTTCAAGACAAGGAGCAAGGAGCCCAATACTTTCAATCCAACATGCTTAAAGACCCTTTATAACATATTTTGAGGCACTCCTCTCAAGTCTAAAGGAGAGCCTCTAAGCATGTATAATGTGCTTAAGATTCAAATACACGAAAAGTCAAGCCTAAGAAATGCAAACCCTAGCCCAATGTAAGGAAGACTACAAGTTGAGCTTCTTACAAGTAAAGAAGTATGAAATCCTAGTAAAGAAGTTGGGTGGCATGATTTTAAAGCATTTATGATTCCTTGATTGTCTCCTAAATTGTTTTCTATTTTAATAGTCCTTTGATTTAACTTCCTTTCTTAAGGAGCAAGATTAGTTTTAGTTTTCTATTTTGAGTCTAGTCAAAGATTAAAATTAATTATATTATTAATTTTTAATTTTTGCAATTCCATAATTTTAGGATCACTTCTACTAAATTATGTGGCTGAATATTTTTTCATTATTTTATATTATTTTTTTCTCCTTTTAGTATTAGGAAATTAAGGTTTTAATTTTAGAAAATAGTCTTCTCTATGAGCCTATATATATTAGGTATGCTCCCTCTTGTAAATAAAAGAGAAGTTGAATTAAATTATTTATTTTAGAGTTTATGACTCTTGTGAGTCTTAATATTTTGTGGTGGCATCTCATGTGAAAAACAAATATAATTAAGAGTGTGATCAACTCTTGTGGTGTCTTTAAAGATTGAGGTTCCTAGAGACAGGTGCTCTAGAGAATCTTATCCTTGATCATTATTCTGTTATTTATTTTCTTTCTTTTTTTTTATTCTTGTGTTTTTATTGTGTTTCATGATTTTGTCCCTAAACTAGCACAATTTTACTTTCGTGTCTCCTATCAAAAGGCCTAAGGACATTAAGATATCTTGAAAACTAAATACCTTGCAATGTCGACTTAAGAATTGGGACAAAACAGATGTGTGCAAAATATCTCAGCAAATTAGACATTTAGAGGGGCAATTGTCAGGAGTGCAAAGTCACGTACCAGGGGCTCATGTGTCCGCAGACGAAAAGAATATTCACGCAACGTTGGAATTTTGGTTGGAATGTGAGGAAATACTTTGGTCTCAAAAAGAAAGATTTCAGTGGCAGCAAGAGGGTGATAGAAATATTCGATTTTTTTCATAACTTTGTTCGTGAGCAAATGGCTAGAGATAATATATTCAGATTAAGGGATGCTTCAGGTACTTGGGTAAGTGACTTGGAGAGTTTACGTTCTTTGGCTCACCAGCATTTCATGCAGTCGTTTTCTCAGCCTCCTTCGAAGTCCAAAGATGATATAAAACAAGCTCTTCAGCATTTGCATGTCCTACAATTGTCTGTTGAGAGTGTTCAAAGACTGCAAAGGGCAATAACTATTGATGAGGTTGAGCAAGCACTTTTTCAAATGAGGTCAGATAGCACTTCAGGGTTAGATGGTTTCCATGCCCACTTTCATAAGAGATATTGGTCATTAATGCGTGAATATATTTTTCAATTAGTGAAGGAATTTTATGAGACTGGGAGGTTGTCTCCAATAATTAATCATACTTGTGTTGTTTTGATTAAGAAATATGACTCTCGTAGGTCTTTGAATGATTTCAGGCCTATTAGCTTGTGTAATGTCCTGTATAAGAATGTTTCCAAGTCAATTAGCAATCGGTTGAAAGGGCATTTAGAGGAGATCATTACTCCTTTTCAAAATGCTTTTGTGCCTGGTCGACAGATTTCAGATAATATCCTCATTTTTGCTGAGTGTTGCATAAAATTCAGAACTTTCGAAGAAATAAAACTGGTTTGTGGGCTCTTAAGATTCATATAGCTAAGGCCTATGATAAATTATCATGGAATTTTTTAGAAGTTGCAATGGAATTAATGGGATACCCTAATTAGTGGATACAGTTGGTGATGCATTGTGTAAGAATAGTTTCTTTTTAGGTCTTCATTAATGAAACTCTTACATCACCTTTTACAGCCCGACGTGGAATTCGCTAGGGGGATCCATTGTCTCCATATTTGTTTGTAATCACAGCCAATATACTCTTTTGTAGGGTTTTGCATGAGGAAAATCAAGGAAAGTGGAAAGCAATTAAGGTTGCACAAAACTCTTTGCCAGTGACTCATTTAATTTATGCTGATAATACGGTTTTATTTGGTCATGCTAAAGAAGAGGACATACTGATACTGACAGTGGATAAGATTCTACAATTTTATGGGACATTGTCAGGTCAGTTCATTAACAAGGAAAAATCAATTATTACCTTTAGTCCTTGTGTACTTCATCATTCTAAAGGTCAGTTCTCGGGTTTATTGGTTATCAAGTTTGCCAAAAGATTGGTCGTTATTTGGGTGCTTATTTAGATGAGGGTCAGAATCGTTCTGCTCTTTATCAGGAAGTGATTCACAAAGTGGATCAGAAATTACAAGCATGGAAAGCTCAATGTTTATCTCAGGCTGGACGTTTAACGTTGATTAATTCGGTCCTGGTTTCACTTTTGACTCACCCTCTATCTCACAAAGCTCTTCCTCTAAAATACTTCCATTTAATTGATATGAAATTGGCTAATTTCTTTTGGGGTTCTCCTAAGTTGCATTTGAAGAAATGGGATTCCATTTGTGTCTCAAACGTATGTGGAGGTTTGGGCATTAAGCGTATTGCAGAATACAACACGGCTTTATTGGGTAAGCAAGCTTGGTGCTTAATTTCGACGTCGCCAAATTCACTTCTCAGCCAAGTTCTGCATCTTCCTCATTCTTATCATTTACAAAGGTATTCCTCCATGTCATGTGTGTGGGAAGGTATTATTTCTCACAGTGACATTATTGTGAATCACCTTAAGTGCAAAATTGTCAAACTTTGGTGGCCCAGGCAGTTTCCTCTGCCTCTAACAAATATGACAATAGTCAATCTTACTTTTCATACCAAAGCTAAATGGAACCCCAAGTTACTAAATCATATTTTTTATGAACAAGCAAGAGATAGACCAATTAGGATGCCTTTTCCCATACTGGGAGAGCGAGATGGTATCATTTGGAACTTGAATGACTCCAGGGAGTATACCGTAGGGACAGCATACAATTATCTAATGAAAAGCTGTGAAGTTCAAAGTGATGTTAAAGTTAAAGATCCCTGGTTATTCATTTGGAAGTTACATGTTTACCCCAGAGTGCAACTTTTCTCATGGAAGCTTGTTCATTATGCTTTGCCATTAAGAGGTGCTTTGAAAGCTCATCATCATCAAAGGATCAATGAAGGATGTGCTTTTTGTGGGGAGATTCCAGAAGATCTTGTGCATTTATTTTTCCAATGCCCTTTTGCTCAATGTGTTTGGTTTGGTTCACAACTTAGTTTGAGAATAATGGCTGATGGGTCAAAGGATGATGTCAATGGTCATTTGTTGCCTTTACTTCTTCTGGTTAAGCAAAAGCAACATGATGAGCCAAGCAACAAATCTGGTAACAGCGAGTTGATCGCCATCTTTCTTTATGTCATTTGGCAGAGCAGGAAAGGATTCACTTTCAAGACCTCTCAAATTACTCCTATGAAAGCTTTAACGAGGATTCGTTATTATTACAACCAAGTAAGTTCCATTGGTGACACCTAGGAATTCTCAAGAAGAACCTCTCAAATATGAACAAGGATCTGGTAAGGTTGCAGATTATGATTGAGACTCTGAAGATAAAGAGAAAGTGATTGTGTTATTTACAAAGGAGACATTTTGATGTTTTTTGTTAGGATGTACAAGTGTTACGACCAGAGTCACTAGTGTAATCCCATCAGAGATTTTGCTCCATTTTTCTACTTCCTAGGACACTAAATGACATTTAAGTTATTGTTGTACATATGCGTGTGTGTACATATTTGTCCAACAGAAATATATAAAGGTATTAAGAAGGAGTTTCACCTTGAAAAAAAAAATATTTCACATGATTTTTATGATGTACTCCCCTCAATCTAGTTTATTAAATGCTTTTTAGGAACCCAAAGTGGTTCACTTTATAAGTTGTTAGTTGATGTAATTATTTTGTTTTAAATTAAAAAGTTTAAACTATCCTTGCAAGGTAAGAGAGAGAGAGAGAGAAACGGAAAAAATAATATTAAATGGTTTGCTTACTTTTTATTTTTTTATTTGAGAGTTATGTTTAGAATTTCACTTATTTTTATTTTATTGATATTGATGATATCAATAAAAATAATTTATAAAGAGAATTAAAGGAGTAATTGTCAACATATGTTGACATCCTTGCTTGATATGGTGTGATGTACTTTTTGAGGTATGCATGCTCCAAATAGCTTGCTTCACTCCCCGTTTTTTTCTTTTTTCTTTTTTTTTTCTTTTGAGCAAAAGCTTGCTACAGTCCTACTTATATGTTATACACGCACATACATCCAAGCGCGTGCGTGCATGTTTGTATGTAATCCTATAATAATGTGCACGTTTAATCAGAAAGTGAATTAGGCATTGATAACCATAAAAGGGATGTTTTAAGTTATGAGAATGGATACTTTCCAAAGTGTGCGCACTGCAATACAAACATAGTAATTTTGTTTACGAGGTAGGGAGAGAATTTTTTTTTTTTAATCATATTTAAAAATCACATTATTAATTTTTTATCATATTTTTTCTTTCATTAAATATTAATAAAAGAAAGTATGTTATTAAATAGGTAGCGCAACAAACCTAATCTATATTCTCAACTCTACATGTGTGTGTTTTTCCATCCCAAAAAAAAAAAAAAAACTTGGTGATAATATGACGTTTGAGGAAAACAGTTATGGAATGTAGAACTTCCAAGGTATGGCCCCTGGTTCCTCGGCCCAATCATAGTGCTATAAAAGTGATGTCTAAGGAAGAACGGAATAGATCAGTGGCACAATTATTTCAAAGAGGAAAACGTGATGCACAATTGATCACGGTACATAATATAGATTATCTTGAAAGATTTGCGCATAAGAAATCTAATTTCATATCCAAATGTTTCCAATCATGTCCTATGCAATTGGACCGTCTGCGGAGAAGTAATTACTAGTAATCACTATCCAACATCCATATCACATCCCACAATGACATTCGATTTTTTTTAAAAACAAAATAAAACAATCTTATTTTAAACAAAATCACACATAGTATTAAAATTCATTAAATACACTTTATAATCTTATTTTTTTCAATACAAAAATATAAACTCTTAAAAATACCCTTCATTTAATACTATATTGGTGAAAGAATATTAAAGAGTGAGAATACATGAAAACAATAATATTAAAAAAATATCATTAATAAACCCTTATTTTTATCAAAATATCTTTTGTTTTGAGATATTAAATTTTTTTTAAAAGTGTCTTATAATTTGAGAAATATCATATTTTGATACCATTGGCAAGCATTTATCTCCCAATTCCTGGCAATTTTGGCATCAAAATTCCAGAGTTCAAAGCTGCACAATGAGTAGAGCACATGTTTTGGTTCTGCTTTTTCCAACGCAAGGCCATGTTAGTCCCCTCGTGGAGCTTTCACGTGAACTGGTTAACAATGGCATCAAAGTCACATTTGTGAACACAGACTTCAATCACCAACAAATCATGAAAGTTCTGGCAACAAAAGGTGAAGGTAAAGAACCAGTGGGGAAGAAGATTAACTTAGTCTCAATCCCAGATGGGCTGGAAGAAGATGAAAACAGGAATCGCAGAGAGATATTAATAGAGTCAATCTGGGAAGTCATGCCAAAGAAACTAGAAAAGCTCATAAATGGGATAAATGAAGCAGACAGTGAGAAGATCAGTTGTGTAGTGGCAGATGCAGGCATGGCATGGGGACTTGAAGTTGCAGAGAAGATGGGAGGTCCAGAGAGCAGCATTCTTGCCCGCATCAGCATCAGTCCAGGCGCTGTCTTTCAGCATCCCAAAATTGCTTGATGATGAAATTATTGACAGTGAAGGTGAGAGACCTTTGTGCTCAACTCTTTTTCCTTTCTCTGCATTTTCTTTCACATTTGGTAATGAGTAAATACTCGCAACGGCACTTGACGATCCCACTGGTGGTAATTAACAATTAAAACAAGATAATAAAATACTTATCCTCAAATATATAAAAAGTATTGAAACTATTTATATTCCCTTTCCTCACTTGACCTGTTTTTGAAATGCCACCAAAACTACTATAACCAAACTATCTATACAAAGAATCGTGTTTGATCACAATAAACCTATTCATGAATACAAAATCATTAATTGACAGCTTCAACTTTGATGTTAAAAAGAGATAATATGAGAGAGAGGAGTACCCAACGAGTGCATCCAAAAGGCTAGAACTTTTCACAAGTGATTTGTAATCTCCATTGCGGGAACACCGACAAAAGATCAAGCTGTTTGTTCATCTGGCGAGAAAAATGCCTGCTATGAGAACAAAACATTTTATCTGGGCAAAAATTGGTGATGGCTTGAATGCACAAAAAATTATGCTTAATTCAACGACAAGGACCAACAAAATTGTGGAAACAGAAAATTGGATTATCTGCAACTCAACCCATGAACTTGAGCCTTCAGCATTTGCTTTTGCCCCCAGAAATTCTTCCTATAGGTCCACTGCAAGCAAGCAAGAGCACCCATGTTGATCATTTAGCAGGATCATTTTGGCCCGAAGACTCAACTTGTCTAAACTGGCTTGACCAACAACCAGACAACTCAGATGTCTATGCTGCTTTTGGAAGTATAGCTATCTTTCATCTCCTCCAGTTGCAGCAACTAGCATTGGGACTTGAGCTCTCAAATAACCCATTTCTATGGGTTGTAAGAACAGAAATCAACAGTGGGGCAACCCATGCATTCCTAAAAGCATTTGAGGACAGATTATCTTCTCGTGGGAAGGTAGTTGGTTGGGCTCCTCAGCAGAAAGTTCTAAAGCATCCCTCAATTGCTCGTTTCTTGAGCCACTGTGGTTGACATTCTACCTTATAAGGTGTCATCAATGGAGTGCCTTTCTTGTGTTGGCCTTACTTTGCCGACCAGTTTCTTAATGAGACCTACATTTGTGATATCTGGAAGGTTGGGTTAAGGCTTAATCAAAACATTGGGATAATAAGTCAAGAAGAAATAACATTTAAGATTAAGCAAGCGCTCAATAATGAGGGATTAAGAGTAAGGGCTTCAGAGATGAAGGAAAAATTGATTAACAGTGACGAAGATGGTGGCCGCTCAAACAAGAATCTGAAGAACTTTGTTGATTGGATAAAAGAATAAATAAGTATTTTCATGCTCATAACTGAAGTGTAACATGGCATGAAAAAAAAAAAAAAGAAGCTCTGTTGATTATGTAATGTAGAAGTATCTAATGTCTTAAATTTTTAACACTCCTAAACTTGACCAGGGCATATAACACCACCCCACTGTAAGAGGGACCTTGACGGACTTGTTCAGGAACTGAAAAGATCTTTCAAGTTGATGCATTCTCTTTCAGTGGTTCAGTTTGTTTTTATACACTTCAGCTGTTTCAAAGAACTCTTTAATCGAGTTCTTTTTTCGATCAACAAGCCTAACAACAACAATTTAAGAAACAACATTGAAATTCAAACCACCGATGCCAGCGGTTCAATTCAATTTGCTCCAGTCTTTCAACCTCATGTAGAATTATGAAGTCTGCAACCCAAAATTATAAAGTTCATCTTTCTAAATTGTGTACTCCTCGCAATCTGCAATACTAATCACTGAATAATAATTCCACTATGAAGATCGTGCATCTTAGCAATTCTCAGTTCCAGTAAACAAGCCAATGGTCATTCTTTTCAGTAAACTGTAAAAAAAGAATATAATAGCAAAAACATACACCATCTATAATTTATCAAGAACATCATGTCCCCCATGTTATGGCGGTATCACTTGCATCTCTTTCAGATGAGATTATGCTTCAATAGCTTGCTATAATTCTGCATAATACAAACCAATAAATATCTAATACTATCAATATTTGCAAAAACAACCAGTGAATATATTACGTTGATAACCATACAAGGTTTGTTTAAGGAAAATAGTTTTAGAATGGAGGCCTTCCATAATATGCCAGTGTCATACATGTTAAGTTCAAAACAGAACAAACTAGCTCCATCGCACAATATTTGAAAGAGGAAAATTTGATACACAATCATGATGATAATGCAACTTCTACTTCGAAGATTTGCACATAAGCAACCTGATTTTATGCTTCCTCGTGCTCTGAAGTGAAATACTCTGCTCAAAATGTTCAGTCTTAAGTCACTCCAGAACCTGTACTCCGAACGTAAAACAGAGTCACATCCTAGCCTAACCTCCATTATGCACATTTGATGCAATTAATCCCACATCCAAGCATTAGAATAAACTTCATCAAGAATAGCCAGCATAGGATCAATCCTCTTTCTTTTGAAGGGTTTCCAAAGCTTGCTAAATATCTATTTATTCATCAAAGCAGGGGAACAATCCTTCTCTCTTGGGCAAGGAGGAGCATCATTGAAAGTGAACCTGTAATAAACCTAGTTTTTATTTTTATTTTTATTTTGCCAAGATGATTATACTTGGTAAGATACTTAAGAACCAAGCAACTTTTTCCATCTTGCATATCCATAAACAATGAAGAAAAGCAATATGCTAGCTGCAGTGATGCCTCCAACAAATGGCCAGAAAACTCCGTGACTATCATATAATGTACAAGGGATGTTCATACCAAATGCACCAGCAATCAAAGTCTCAAAAGCAACGGCAAATGATGCGATGGTCAGGGTCAACTGCAGCTGAATCAGTTCATTTCTATGGCTGTCAAGTTGGATGTTGACGTAGTCCTCTGTGTCATCAATATATTCTCTCACCTGCAAACCAATAGCCATGGTGTTAAGAACAAAATTAGAGTCGAGTTCCACCACATTATAGTATTACAAGAAAAGACAAAATCAAGAAACAACTTTTTGGACGCTTTCTAACAACTTCTCTCAAAAAAAAAAATGTACGAGCTTTTTTTTTTTTTTTACAGCTCAACACATCAACTCTTACAAAATAGTTTTTATACAAGCCGTGCTTGCTGCAATGAAGTTAATAGGGGGAACTTAAGTTATCCTTACACAAACACCTTCCATGAGCAATGGCTACATAAAATCAAATTAGAAGACAATTTCAATAATTCAGTATCCAACAACTAACTCATCATTTTGGGCCCTTGTTCAAGTTTTTTCAGGAAAAAATCACTTTTTTTTTTTAAGGGGGGATCCTATTGCGAAATTTTATCATATTTACTTAAGCTTTCAAAAATAATTAGAATCTTTTAAAGAAACTAGATTTTTGATCATTTTGAGTAGCTTCTAAAAATAAATAGATATGGTAGATGAAAAAGGATGTCATAAAATAAGGAGATATCATAAAATTTAAAAATAACTAAATAAAAAATCATTTAACCAAACACAATATAATTTCCGCTTTTTTATAAAATTTCTACACAATAAATCACTTTTCATAGAATCTCTAAAATATATTTAAAAAAAAAATCACTCATATTTTAAGCTTAAAACAAACAGGCCCTTTGTTCAATGGAGCATAGACTAATTGCCTTCTTCCTCCTTTGGGCCAGAAAAAGCTCAGCAAAATCTCTCCACTAATTATTTTTGCAAACAAGTAAAAACAAACAGTTAACCAAGAAAACTTGTTTTTATTCAAAAAAACCAGACAATACTAGATTTCAAAATCTAAACAAACACACAATTCAGTGGATCCAATAGAATTAGAGATGCTGAAATTGTTGGTCCACATTGAGTGCTGATATACAAGCTTGTATTAACTAAAATGATTATCATAAAAAACTTACAGATAATATCTTGTTCCGAGTTCCATCCAACTGCATAAAATATGCCTCAAGCAACATCTCCAGATCCTCAACATCAGAGTCATCCATGGCATTGCTAGTCACAAGACTTCCACTTCTGTTAGAGCCAATGTGAGGAACAAGGGCTGCAGTAGCATGAGCGTTGGAGGCTGTGGCTCCCAAGAGAACTTCAGATTGCTGATTTTGTAACCACTTCCTCGTCAAATGCAATTGTGCCATATCATGGTTGTCATCTAGAAGATGTTCAATTTCATCTCGCACCTAAAGAAAAAGGACTGTACACGTTACTAAGTATGATGATGCCTCCAATATGATTGCAAGCATCATCAAATGATAAAACATAAATATCTTAATTAGCTGTAAGAATTTCCCTGGTCAAGAAAGGAATGACTTCTGAACAGCTCATAAACAGAAACCGATCAATTAGATGGGGAGGAGATAGCATTTTTCTTTTCTTTGTTTAATGACCACATAGTTGAATGCCATAAAATTGTCACAAAGGTTCAGACTTGTAAAAATTTTAGCCCCCCTTATATCATTTTAAGCATTGTACTGTTTTTCACAAAAGCTTATTCTTGGTCACTTGCTGTAGCCTGCAGCCCCGTGAGAAAGTAGAGACTAACAAAGGGACTAACCACAGGAAAGGGAATGTAATACTTAATGCAGCATACCTTTTGCACGCGTGCCAGCAAACGTGTAAGGTTGCTTTTCAAACTTCGCACGTGTTCAAGATTCTTGGTGCTAACATTTCTAGCCAATTCATCCAATACAGGGTAGGCACCTTTCTCAAGGTCTGTCACACTTGAGTCCAAATATGTACAGACAACTTCTAAAGCAATCTCTAGAACTTGAAACTCAAATGGAAGCTCTGCCTGCAAACCATCTGTGGACTCTGGCACAGGTAACCATTGTCTATCAGTTGAAACAAGCATTTCATTTTCTTGTTCATCTGCATGGCCATGAAGTTTTGGCTGAGTTTTAAATGGAACTTGTTGCCTGAGTTGTTCAACAAATGGAAGAACCTCTTGGGAAAGAGGATCAAGAACGAGGACTTCTTCAGCTGTGACTATGGCCTTTATGAACTCCAAATTGACCACCATTGCTTTCTCCCTGGCTGTGAAAAACATATATTGCAACATGAGGATAGAGAAATAACATAAAGACATGGTTAAATCCATATTCTTCTAATAGCTGAAATAAAGATAGTGATCATCAACTAAACTACATCAGTAGCCAGTTTTCTTTGACAAGAGATGTAACAATACAGTGCAACCAACAGTCAGACCAAGGCTACAATTCTTTTCAAACCAAGTAACCATTAACCAAGCAACATATATTTTGCAATCGATCCAATTAGAAGAACATATTTTGTTAAGTTTAAAAAATCCTCCTTTCTAAATATACGTGGCAATTATTGTGTGTCAGTGTCAGACACTTTTTATCAGAACTGGCATACACACATGCCACTGAAGCCCAAAAATGTAAAGTATCATAATAGAGACAAAATCATCGGGATTCAGGGAGCAAAGAAAGACAAAAGGTTATTACGGTGCTCGAGTAATGGTCTTCCAAAAAGTGTACTTTACCCAAAACGTTAAGATCAAAACAAACTCACATCCAAATTATGCAATACTTCCCCGCTCCTCGTTCAAATTGCAATCTCGTCTTTTCATCAAGTGCTCATGAAATTCAGATTAAAATACAGCACAATCCTTCTACAAACAATCGCAAAAATAAACATAAATTTCTGGAAAACAGTAATACCCAGAAAACCATGCACAAATCAGTTGGTGAAGTAAAGAGGAACAGCACAATACAATCCAAATTCATTACCAAGGATATTGGAGGAGTGAGAGAAAAGAGGGCCCAAAATTCTCAAATCCCTGGCCGGAATCGCCGCGAGCCTTATAATGGCGTTCTTATCCAACTCAACAAGCTCCGATTCACCCGACCGATTAAACCTTATCCACAACCTCGCCACGCCGGCCTTCTTCTTGCTCTTCACCAACGCCCCGCCGGCACCGCCGCCATCACCCGGAGACCCAGCAGTGCCGATTGCCTGCTGTTGCGGCGGCGATGGTGGCGGCCGATGATCGGCTGCCTTCTTCGGGCGCCGGCGTAAGCTTGAGGAGCGGAAGGAGAGAAGACCCTTACCCTTATTTTTACCCATACTCTTCCCTACGTCACGCAAATTCCTTAGGTAGTAGCCACAATAGCAGCCGTCAGCGAACCGCCTTGGGAATTTTCAACTTCTTCGTCTTCTTCTCCGCCTCCTCCTTCACTGCCTTGATCTTCCATACACGGCTTTTCGGTGGAAGTCTAAAGTTAGTTTAGGCTTTTTTTTTTCTTTATATTTTATACAATACAATGTAACAGGGACGAGCAGTGAAAGTTACTTCGGACTTCTGATCTGATTACCGCCTACGAGAACGTGTGTGTATTGATTCAAATCAAAATATAAAATATATTGTAATAACTATTTTTTTATATTCAAAATATAGAATATAGAGTAATAATTAAATTAATTTTTTTATTTTTTATTAATGTGAAAATATTTAATGTAATCATATCATTATTTACAGTTAAGAATACAAATAAAAATACATTCTTTTTTAAATATAAAAAGGGTTATGGATATCATGTACTTTAAATTATTACTTGAATAGCATTTTGAATTCTGACTTTTTAAAATAAATATCTTGAACTATAAATCATTGCTCAAATAGTAAATTACTCTCCGCTGTTAATTTACATATAATAGCCATTACTTTTAACTTTATAGGGTCCAGACAAAGGCTGATATAGCACTAATTCTCTTTTAACATTTGGCATGTCAATTGGATTACATAACCGTCAACGTTATACAAATAAAATAAGGGTTAATTTGCTTGAAATTTAAAAATTAAAAAATTAAAAAAAATTGCTCATTTTAAAAGTTAAAAATTCAACATGTTACTTGAGTAATAATTTAAAAACTATTATATTTATTAATCCTTTAAACAAACTAACTTATTATATGAAATAATTAAAAGATACATTTGTCTTTCAAACACAGCTTTTTAATGGAAGTCTAGAGTTAGTTTAGGCTATATTTAATTAAAAATAAGGGGAAGGGAGGACTTTGTCAATTTTGGACCCCTCCCCTCCAATGAAAATATTGCTTGGTTGGGAGGGAGCCCCCTCCCCTCCCCTTATCCCATCCAAACAAGAAAAAATTCTTAATTAGATAGAGGAGAGAAAAAATTTTTAAAATTTTTTTTCTTTTTTCCTCTAAAACCTCCCCCCCAAATTGGGGGGAGGCCTCTTTCCCTCTCCTCTCCTTCCTTTAAACCAAATAAAGTTTAAATATATCTTAAGCTTTGTTTATTTATTTTTTTACAATGTAAGCATGTAATAGAAATAGGCAGTAAGTTATCTTGCTTTTGACATTTGATTTGATTACAGCCTTCGACACACACACACTATATTAAGTATTAACATAGAATTTTTAGTTTCTTATTGGCCTCTTTTTCTTTTCTGCCCCCTTTTGCTATTTGTTAAACATCTTTTGAAAATAATTTTTTAGCCTAAAATATAAGGTACATAATAATAATTAAATTACTTTTTAAATTTAACCTTTTTTAATCAACATAAAACTATTTAATGTAATTATATCCTTATTTAAGGTCAGGAATAAAAGTATATCTTATTTGTTATTAAAAAATTAACTTTTTTTAATATACATGAAATAAAGAGTATTTTATTTAAATTAAAATATATTGAATTTTAAAACAATTACAAAAAAATTTATGTTTAAAAATTTAAAATTAATCTCCTTGACCTTTTATTTTTTTATTTTTTTACTAAAGATTTTCCTACTATTATTTTTTGGTTATTTTATTAATGGAAGTTGTCATTTCATATTACAAAAGGCACATAATAGTTTATGTGGCATTTGATGTAAGCTAATAATGATAAAAAATTATTAATAAATCTTTTTATAGAACTATTAATTTTTATGTTATTATTATTTTACACTGGATACAATATATGTTGTTATGTGTTTTTTTTTTAATATGAAATGATAATTTTTATTAGTAAGATAATTAAAAAATAATATGAAAGAGCCTACAATTAAAAAATAAAAAATTAATAAGATTAATTTTAAACTTTCAAGAAGTTATTTGTAACTACTTCAAAGCTCAAAGTGGGGAGAAACTTGCATATTTTAGGTTTTTATTTATTTCATTGTTTCCGCCGTTTTCCTTTTGCATATTGTTATTAACTTGTTATTCAGTTGGGAGTCAACGTCCCAAAAAAAAAATAAAGAAAGAAAAATTATGTTTAGGTCTCATGGAATAAATTATTTGCAAATAGGTTTCACAAAATTCAAAAAAAAAAACAACCAAGTTTTTTAGAATCTAAGTGTAATTTAAAATTGTGATGTGAAGATAATAAAACTCCAATTAAAAATATATTACATTAATTAAGTAATTTATAATCACTTTATCAATAATTTACAAGTATTACTTTAACTTTTTATAATTATAATTTCATATATTCAATAATTAAATCGATCATGCATTACAAGTTTAGAGAAATACTTAAAAAGACCGGATGTACTACATCATTTGTGGTCTATTAAATTAAAATGCTACAAGTAATCTGAATAAAATCTTATATGACATTTTTTAAATTGATTTTATTCTTATAACCAAATTCATATTTGATTTCTTGCTTTTTCTCCCTACACCATCATTAATATCATAATCAAGTTATATTTAATATCATTTTGATGTCATATTTTTATTGGATAAATCACAAAAGACATGATACACCTAATCTACAAGTTTAGTACTAATTGTATATAATTATCTCATCAATAATTTATAACTATCACTTCAATATTATGCAATTAGAACTTTATATATCTAATAATTAAACAAATTATGTATTACTAATAAAGTTTAACATTAATTATTTACAATTATTTTATCAACAATTTATAACTAACATTTTAATATTTTATAACTGTAACTTTATATATCTAGTAGTAAAATCTAGAGTCGGTAATTCGGGTTGAGCTAGACGGGCTAGCTTGAACCCATCAAAAAAAATTTAGGGTTAGGCTTTAAAAAATTATGGTTATTTTATGTTCAGGAAAATTCGGGCCAAGCCTGATCGGGTTTGGACTTGGTCTAAATACCCGAATAAAAAATTTTATTTTTAAGAAATATATAAAATATAATAAATATTTAAGTCATTTTATGCTAAAATATCATGTATTTGAGTCCTATACATCATTTAAGTATCAAAAATATATATTTCATATTTTTTATAAAATAAAATAATTAATTTTAAAGTTAAAAAATTAATTAAAAATGATTTTTAAAATAAAATTTAGGTATTCGGGCCGCCCGAAGCTCGAAAAAATTCAAGCCGAACTTAGCCATTCAACCTTTTCTGAGAATTATGCCTATTCGGGTTCGGGTTTATTCTGATCGGGCTTATTTGGATTAAGCCTAACCTTAATTAAATATACATCCTCCTTTCATTCGACCCGCCGCCTTTAAAAGCAATGCCTTACGAACATCACGCAATTCTGGAAACTTTGGGTCCTAGAAAAACCTAGTATCACTGGCGAAGTTGGTCAGATGACAAATCCCTACAAATCCATAGTATTAAAGTCATGTCAATATATAAATAACTTGATTAGATACGTGAATATAAAGGATATATACCTTCATTTTGCTTAACTAATACTTGTTGCATAGCCACCATCAACTCTAGCTTTTTAGTCTTGTGTTGGAATTTTGTCCATGCTTCAATAGCAGTGTCGTAAAAAAAGACACATTCAATCCTATTTCTCCTGCAAGTTTTATTCTCACTGAACTTTTTGCAACCAAACAATTGAAAATCAATCCTCGATTAATTTTATACGCAAGACATGGCTCAAACTGATTAATGGGACTTATTGGCTATCTTCCACCACAAACTCAAACTCTGTTAGAAGTCCCTTCTCAAAATGCCATATATCTTGAGCGACTTCAACCAAAAATCCGTAGACATCTGCATCGCACAAATGTAATAGAAGTCAGCCAAAACTATTTTGAGAGTTTTTAGAAAAGGAAATATGTCAAGGATAAGTTGCAATGCTCACCACGAACTCTGACTTCTGGCCACCATTCTCTACGAATCCACTCCACTGACTTAATTTTGAATAGGTGCTTAGGCATCATTGTGTGTTATTCTTTGACACTTGTTTCATTCATCATTTCTATGTGAAACGGTTTATGAATGCCTAGACCACCAACAACCACCTTAGAATTTTGGACATAATATATCTTGCCCTCTTCTAAGCAGTTGCACAGACGAACTATTTGTTCATCACCAAAAATAGGGATAATGAGTTGGGTTCACTGTCACATTAGAGAAAGGCTATGAATGAATTTAATCATACACAAAGTATTTGAAGACGAAGAACAAAGATGAAGGACACAACTTACAGCAGGGTCGAAGACTATGAGATCCACGGAATCACCTTCTTCGGATGACCCATGTCCTTGTCGTAGATATCGAACTCAGTCCTCAGGTAAGATCTGTCCGCCTTGCACAAAATCATGTCTTCCACCAGGCCAATCTCAAGGCAATCAACATAAAGGAAGTCTGAAGACTCCATAAAGATGGCGGACATGAAAAAAAAAATCCAGGAGAGAGGAGAAGTCGTCGAAATGATGATCCTTAAAACATCTCCACCGAGCCTTTTAAAGAGAGAAAAAGGAGCTGTAAATGACGGCAACAAACATGGCTAAAAAAATTAATGAACCATTTTAAGAATACCTCTAAGAGTCGGATGATGTACCAGATTATGAAAAATAGATGAACAAACTCATATTACATGAATCAATGCAGTCCAAGTGCGTTTGGATGTTCTACCATCTCTGAAACTACCACGTTGTAATGTGGTGTGACCAAGAAGGGACGAGTAGAAGGGGACACACGCGCAGCCCAAGACATGACATCCTTGAGTCTTCTAAGCCATTTTTTGAGCTGGTATTGTCCACAGAAGCTGATATAATGAAATATGGCTCACATGGAGCTTCCCCCCCCCCCCCCCCCGAAAGTCGGAAATCAAAGCCTGGCTTCGTGGACTTACTTTCTTATATATGTTGACTACGCACCTTCCCTTCCAACTCTAACGAACAAAAATGCTTCTCATCATGTGGAATAAAATAAAAAAAATAATTTTGTAAATATGAAATGTCTTTTATTTTGTTTTAAAAAGTATTCCTTCGATTTCTTTTTCCTCGTACGTACTTTTAGCCAGGAAAAAAAAAGTTCATTTCACGCTAACCATATTTTTATATGAACATACACTTGCTATTTCCAAGTTGACCCTTAACAATAACAAGTAACTAATGAATATGTTTGTAGCATCATGTAATCACATGAAAAAAAAAAGTCAGAAGATACAACAAGGATAATGTAATAAAATTATATCACTCATCAAGTTATTTATTTTATTTCATTTAAATAACATACAAAATTGAAAAAAATCTATTATAATAATAACCTAGTTTCATTTAAATGAGGATAGTGCGATAATTGTGTGTAATGAAATGCACAATTAACTATAGTCAACTCAATCTGGCCCAAAAAAAAAAACTATAGTCAACTCGAGAGAAGAGACAAGGGGGGAAAAATCATGCATCACAAGAGTTATCCTAACTCCGTCTCTTGACCTACACACTCTCTTAGAGTAGCACTAAAGAAATTTTATCATTATGATAATTTAATTACTGTCCCAGTAAGTTTTACAGCAAGATCATCTACAATTTAATGGGTAGACACTAGACACTAATGATCTAAGATTATGAGAAATACTTAAATAGAACAATGCACCATATTATCCATAATCTATCCAATAAAAATATAATATTTAAATTATATTAAATATAAATTGATTCTAATATTAATGACAATAGGGAGAGAAAATATAAGAAATTAAATATGCTTTCTATTATAAAAATAAAATCATTAAAAAAATTACACATAAAATTCTCTTTAATTAAATTGATTCAATTTTATTGAATGAATTATAGATAATGTGGTGTGTCAGGTTTATCAAAGAATTTCTCACAAGATTACAAGCAAAAACCCATGACTTTCTACTTCCACGAGAGCTTACATATCACTCATAAACTGCAAGGTGATTGGCAAATTTTAGAATTTTTTAAACAGCTCACCTAAAACTAGTATTCTAGAATTTTTACATATCTCACCCCAAACTAATACAGCAGATATAAAAGTAGTTTATTAGAAAAATGCTCTTAACTAGTTAGATGGCAAAAACACTTCAAGCTCTCAGATATTCAAGATTACAATAATGACATTTCAGAAAGTACACGGTTAGGCTCGTAAGGATAATGATACGTTAATTATTCTCTTCATCTCTTGTATTATTCAGATTCAATCCTCATCTTTTTCTCCTTGAAATATTTGAACATATATAACGCTGCTCCTTGATCACGCAAATCAGATATCAACGTCATTTTTCCATTTGTGTCTGAGAGCAATTAATCATACTTCCGTTCTTGGTTCCAACGACTAAATTATTCGTTACGTTGTTGTTGTTTTTTTTAATAAAGACAATTATCTTAATCAATCAAGATTTGGTTGCCTAAAATTTCAATATCTGAAATAATTTTTAGATTATATGTTATTATAAAATGTAGTAATGTTATCTTTTTCATAAATGAGTTACTTATATTTAAACTAACATTATATTTTTCATATTTAATAGGGTGTTTCACTCTAAAATTAATATAAAATAATTTTTTATTAGAAGCATTTTTAGAAAGAACGCAATGATTATACCTTAAAGTATTAAAAATACACTACATTTTTAAACATTTAACCTTCTAAAAAATACAGAGGGAATATTATTCTATTAGAAACGAAATGAGATCAATAAATATAACTGGTTTAATAGCACAAGAGAAGTCTCCAAACTACCAGTGCATCTCTGGTCTTGGTTAAGGACAAGATTTATGTATTTAATTTTATACACTTAATATATTTTGCTAATAAAATTAATAATAAAAATTTATTACAGAATAAATAATTTATAAAAGATTAAAATATTTTAATTTAATTAAAAATAAGTACATCAAGTATGTAAATATAAGTATATAAGTTTTTCCCTTACTTAATACTCCATCTGTTAAAAAATATATATAAAATATTTTTTAATGAGGTTAGATGTTAAAAAAATAAGACATTTTTAGGGTAATTCATAGCTGTAGATTAACTATAAATTATAGTTAAAATAAATAAATAAATAAATTTAATATTAAATCTCAAACACTCAGTTTTTAATCTAAGGGTGAGAGGATGATATAATAAGAAAAAAAGATGGCAGTCAACGGTTAGCTATCCCAACCAACAGTAATGTCACATTCCTCCCTTAAAAGAGGTCTCAACTTTTTTGCAGAGATGACTTGTTTAATTCTGGAAAATTGTGTTGTTGAATAACTCTTGAAAACAATATCCTCAAGTACGATTCAAACCAGATTTCCTACCTGATTTTCCAACAAGAACATCCAGATTCATGACTACATTGGTCAAACAAAACAATCATGAATGTAAAGTAGTATCGGAGGAGGCAGCTGAACAACTAAAATTAAAAATTAAGCCAGAGAGCTGATAGTCAGCACCAACCTAACCACCCCCCCCCCCAAAAAAAAAAAAAAAAAGCACCCACCTAACACTCCAGTATTGATATTACAGCTCCACATATGAGTCGTTCACTCCTCGGTTCTTCTTCTTCTTATAACACTGTTACTGTCAGTGTCAGCCATATTTGATCATTTTTAATCCTTAATACTAGTACACCACCCACCTCTTTCCCCACCATTATCATCGTCACTATTATTAATCACTGCTACTTTTCTTCCGACAAATGGCAGCGACAAAAGACGGAGAGTCTCATCAGACAGAACAAAACATCATGGATTCAATGTCAAAAACCGTTTGTGTCACTGGAGCTGCCGGTTTCATCGGTTCCTGGCTCGTCATGAGACTCCTTGAACATGGCTATACAGTTCGAGCCACCGTGCGCGACCCCGGTTCAGTTCCAGTCCCTTTTTCTCATGTTCTTTCTCGTCCTTATTATATAAAACCCTCGGTTAAATCATTAGGAATATATTTATGATTTTACTTATATTTAAATAATTTTTATTTTTATATTTACAGTACATTATCTCTCATAAATAATGACTTCAAATAAAGATAATATTAAAAAAATTAATTAATACTCAATTAAGTAACTTATAATTAATGTTTAATGTTTTAAACATCAAATCGGACATGATAATTAAATATATATCTATATTAAAAATACTGACAATATCATTTTTAGTTTAGAATTGCTCAGTCATAAATGTTAAATTATGAATTTTTTTCATTTTTTCCTACAAATATTTTTTTATTTATTCTATTTATCTTTTTAAAAAATCTTAATTTGCTCCACACTTTTATTAAATTATACATTCAAAATGTTATTAGAATAATTAGGATATAAGTTGACATTAATATTTCTAAATTAATGAGCCAAATCGAATTGCTATACATACTCCTTTTGTTTAAAAATATAAGGTTTTTTTAAATGAATTTCACCTCTAACAAAGTAATTATCTATTTTTAAACTAACCTTATCTTTTTATATTTACTCCTATTAAACACTTTACAATAAATAAAAAATTATTCATCAATAGAGACACTTTTAAAAAAAAGACAGTGACTACACTTTAAAATATTAAAAATATTTTATATTTTTAAATATTCAACTCCTCAAAAAATATTTTATTAGGGAAAGCATATGTATATATCTTTGGCGATCTGAATTTCAGGGGCCGTCAGTCCTCTTAAAATAAAGGAATATATTGTTATTTATCACATGGGTTTTGTTTTTCGTTCCTTCTTCATTCTTTAATTAATTATTGGACTTGGATGATGGATTTGTAGGCAACATGAAGAAGGTGAAGCATCTGATAGAATTACCAGGTGCTGACACGCACTTGACTCTGTGGAAGGCAGACCTTGCCCGAAAGGGAAGCTTCAACGACGCCATCAATGGCTGCTCCGGAGTTTTCCACGTGGCTACCCCTTTGGATTTCGATTCCCACGACCCTGAGGTTTATTCTTCTTCTTCTGCCGTTCCTAACATACAAGCACGTGTGAAAATTGATCGTTTAAAAAAAAAATTCATAAACCTAATCCTTTTACATAAGTAAAGTACATGCGTACACAATGCATATAAACATGTTAACTTGAGTTCAAATCCAGAACTTCTCTCAAAAGATAAAGATGACGTTGTTATTAGGACAACAAACTAAAGGCTGTGAAAATTGATCTAAAAGCTTTGTTAAGGCTTGGGACTAGAGGATTTACCATGTATTTTGAATATTTAGAATAGAAAAATTAAGAAAAAAATTAATAAGCAAGTCCTTAAAATTTTGTTTAATTTTAAATTAGGTTTTAAGTTTATTTTATTTTAATTAAGCTATTATAATTTAATCTATTAAATATGTTAATCTTTAAATGTTAAAATTATTAATGAATGATTAATTTTTCAAAATAAAAATACTTTTGAAGAAAATTGAGCAAAACTAAGTACATATATGGCTATAAAAAAAAATACAATGATTCCCGGACTAATTTTTTCATGAAAAAAAAGGGAATAGAGAAAATTTGAAAGAAAAAGGCATTTTTCTGCTTTGGTACAAAGCTTTTTTTTTTTTAAGAAGAAAATTAGGGAAAGGTAAAGGTAGAAAATAACTTGTCTTTTTCTTCTAGTTCTCTGTTTCATTATTATTTTTTCCTTCTACTTCTAATTCTCTTTTGGTACAAAGTTTTTAGAGTACTTAATTACGCTTAAATAGATAGTATGAATTTGGTGGGGAGGTGGCAGAATGAAATGATAAAACCAACAATAAATGGTTTATTGGACATAATGAAAGCATGCCTGAAGGCCAAGACAGTGAGAAGATTGGTATTCACATCTTCAGCTGGAACTATCGGCGTCACGGAGCACCACAAGCCTGTGATTGATGAGACTTGTTGGACCGACGTTGACTTCTGTCGTGGAGCCAAGATGACCGGTTGGGTTAGTCATTCGACTCATTCCATATCTCTCCCATGTTTCGTCAATTACTTTTTTGGTCAAAGTTTTTATTGGACATATGAGATATATCATTTTTAGAAAAAAAAAAGAAATTAAATATTTTGCAGGCATATTTCGTTTCGAAGACACTGGCAGAGAAAGAGGCGTGGAAATTTGCCAAGGAGCATAACATGGATTTCATCAGTGTAATTCCTCCTCACGTGCTTGGCTCCTTTCTCATCAACTCAATGCCTCCTAGTTTTATTACCTCTCTTTCTCTCATCACTGGTAATGCGTTCATATTAATTCATTATTCCTTTTATTAAGTTCTACCTTTAGTGCTTTAACTTCAATCATATTTAGTGGACTCTAATTGTAGGGAATGAAGCCCACTATTCGATCCTGAAGAAAGGCCACTTTGTTCATGTAGATGATCTCTGCATGTGTCACATATTCTTGTATGAGCATCCTCAAGCACAAGGAAGATACATATGCTCTTCCCATCAGGCCACCATTCATGAAATTGCCAACCTGCTTAATCAAAAATACCCACGCTACAATGTCCCCACCAAGTACACAACTTTTCTTGCTCCTTAATCATTTAATCCGCATATTTTTGATTAGTTTATAATTTAACTTTTAAATATTGACTCAGTTTAACTCAATTTTTATAATTTGACTTAACTGCAGTTTAATTTTTAAATTTTAACTTGGTGCACCTCAATTTTTATAGTTTTAAATATTTAAAATATTAGTCTTGATATTTCTAAAAATAACTTCAGTCTTTATAATTTTATTTTTTTAAATAATAGGGATTAACAATTTCAATAATTAAAACTAGGTATAATTCCTTTGAGATCCCTTACAAGATAATTAAATGCCATAAGATCTATTAACAACTTACTAGAAGAAAATGACAACTATTAAGTTTTTAATTAATTGAGTTATAACTAAGTTAAAATTATAAAAATTAATTTATATCGAATCAATGTTTAAAAACTAAGTTATACTCATATAGACCGGATGATTATTTTTTTATTAATTTATTTAATGTGAGTGGATGAATCCATGTTGGACTGATTGTTGTAAGCTCGAATCATGATTTTGTTTGTAGGTTTGAGAACATTCCGAAGAACTTGGAGATTGTGCACTTTTCTACCAAGAAGATAAAAGATTTAGGGTTCCAGTTTAAATATAGCTTAGAGGACATGTTCACTGAAGCTGTTGATACTTGTAGAGAGAAAGGACTTCTACCGAAGTCTGCTGAAACCCCCTCTAATGGTTCAACTAATTAGAATTATGTCATCAATGGGATTGATTTGTGCTACAAATATGAAGCAAATTGTTAATGTGGGCCTATCGCTTAATTATTGGGCTGAAGATTGCACAAAGAGGGGCTTTAGGCTTGAGGTAGGGGCAGAGAAGAATTTGGTTGACACTTTCTTCCTTTTCAAATTTCTTTCCTCTGTGTTCTCTTCCCTCTATATCTGTGCTATTTCGCTCATTGTTTTATGTTAATTTCCTTCCATTTTCCTAGCATCTTCATGCCAATAGTTGTAATGACTGATATATGAACTCTTTTCTTGAGTTATCGAGGCAATATTAATAGCATAATTGTATTCAGTGATATTTTTGTGTTCTATTCACTACTATCAAATTGGTGATCGTGGCAAAGGTACTTTCATTGAGAGATCGAATGGCGGAAAACACTAATCGCATGTTCCACTTTGAGCAGACCATGGCCGAGTTGCGTCGAAACATTTTGGAAATATCCTCCAATGTTGAGCTTTTGATTCAGCGTTCCACCACTACGTCTTCGGACTTCAAGACAATCACTACTAATGAAACGTCGTCACTGTTGCCAATCTTACCTTGGAGTTCTGACTCCATCAAAAATCCACACTCAAGTTCAGAACCAAGTGACGCATGCAAATCGATGGTAGTGGATCATGAATCAATGTTGCTGATCGAACCAGAAATGGAATGCATCTCTTCTTCATCCGCCATTGACGAGGAGGATGACTCCAAAGACTACACAACTTTAGCGGCCGTCAACTCAGAAACCATTCAAGCTTCAATCGTAGAATCAGCATCTATTCTGGCCCTAACTTCTTTAATGAAGGAAAATAATTTGCTCAAACAAGATTCGGCTCATGCAACAAAAGGGATTAACAATGGCTTGACTCATTACACCAAATTAGATCCAGGTATTTTTCTTCCATTTCCTTTGAACATGAACTACCAATTGCAAGCATGTATGGATTGGTATAAGGAACCAGGAAAATTCCATGAATACAGAGTTAATTTTAGTGGATATATGTTTCAGCTGAGGCTTGTTGATAACTTGATTCTTGGTTTAGTAGTTAGTATTAAACCCAGTGTTTTCCTCTTCCACTATATCTATTTTGGCTCCCTTCAGTGTAGGGACTTATGCAATATTCTTATTCTGTGGAATGATGGCTTGCTTATGGCTCAGTTGCTGGCATTTGTTATGTTCAAATTCACACCAGAGAATAATCCTTTTATGGTGCCGTATCCCCTGGTTAATTGCTTTAAATTGCTCTAAGATAATTGGTTGCTTGGCTCTGATTTATAGGGCACACGAGACACTACAAGGACCTGATAACTCGAATTTTATCATCATTTATGATCCTGGGATTATCTTTGATGTTTTGTTCTATTCTGAGCCTGCTCAAACTATGGGGGTTATGTTTTATTTTCATAAATTGCAACATGAAGGAGGTTATTCCAGATCTGTAATTTATGTTGCTGGATATGGCTTTGCTATTTTTATCTTTGATCCTGGAGATGCTACAAGCAATGAGTACCTTAAATTTATCAAGGCGATATATATGGCAAGGGTTAATTTCTTACAATCATGCATGAATGCTAGAACATTCTGTATCTCTACATGGTGAGTGCCACAATTTGAAACTCAGGTTTAATGGGATGTTATTTCCTGTTATGCATATGTAGTGTTTTCTACCATTTGGTACTTAGTTATGGCCCTTCATACTTATCATCGATTTGAAATTTTTCTTCATGGGAACCCATTAAAATGCTGTGCTTCTGTTATATTTGCAATCGAGTACTATTATCATTGCAATACTATTCATTTTTTTGCTGAATCTTCAAATGATTTATCCATGGAATTTGTTGAGCTAGACATGCAGCAACAAGATATCACTAACTTCAATCCTAGAATGGTCTTTGATCCTGCTTCCATTTCCTGCAATCTTCTATTTCAATGCTGGCCACAAATTGTATGCATGGAATTATTGTGTAGTTGTTTGACACAATGTTTTAATTGCTTATTGGAAGGGTTAAAAAGTAACGTGTTGGTTTGCATAAAATGGTGGAATTTTTTTGCATTGGATTGTACCTACCTTAACCAAGGTTCAAGATTTCATTACTCGATTAGTACGTGCACCTCCCATCTGGCACTTGATAATTCTTGACCATTTTTATCATGGCTGTATCTATCTCTATGGATGGTCTTTATATTTGCATTGTGGTCCAAGGGAGACTAGAATTCACTCTGCACCAATATTTGTTATTTAATTTTGATGAGCCTCTACAGTATTGAGACATTGCCGTGATGAGCTTTCCCATGTGTGATCCACCTTACTTTCCTTTAAATGGTGAGCCAAGTATTGTCACTTTACTGTTGGGCATTCAAAGAGATTTATCAAGAGCGATGGTTGCTATTATGACTTTTGAAATATTCAAAGATGGAGTTCCCTCATTTGATTCCAAACATGTTTCTTGGGTCTCTTATAATTTTGTTTCTTGGAATGGTTTAGATCCTCTTTCATGGATAGGCCTTATTTGGGTCATAGTGCAAAGAGGATATTATAAAACTAAAGATAAAATCTGCATTGGGTACCCCATATGTCCAAGCTTCGAGATAATGAATGGGTTTTTCAAGTTTGTTTGTGATACTATTCAACATCTACACCTGTCCTTCAAGTCACGGTGGCCACTCTTTCAATTCGTGGAAGCTGCTTGGGTTTTCCTTCTTATCCAACAGTTAAAATGTGCAATTTGAACCTTGAGGATAATTCAAGAATTGTTCTTGGCTTAATTTTTCTAATGATTGCTGTGAAAATATTTGGAATCATACATGCTTCTATTCACTTGTGGATACTTAATTGTTTTTTATGGGCTTATCACATTTTGATCCTTCAGAATGGTCTTAGATCCACCTTTATGTGCAGCTTATGGTTCTTTTTTAGATATTTTTCCAAGCTTGGACCTTAAGGACAAGGTCCATGGGGAAGGGTATGTTATGAATGGGCTTGATTTGTGCAACAAATATGAAGAAAAATTGCTAATGTGGGCCTAAGGCTTAATTATTGGGCTGAAGATTGCATCAAGAGGGGCTCTGGGCCTGAGGTGTGGGCAGAGAAGAATTTGGTCGACACTTTCTCCCTGTTCAACTTTCTTTCCTCTGTGTTCTCTTTCTTCAGTATTTGTGCTATTGCTCTCATTATTTTATGTTAATTTTTTTCCATTTCCTAGCATCTTCACGCCAATATTTTGTCAGACAGGGAGGTGTAGCAGAAGATTAAAATTTTAAAATTTTTATTCTGATATGGATCAAATGAACTCGTTTAAGTCAAGTTGGATAGAAGAATTACTTTTTAATTCTTCAAATTTAGCACACGTTCTCTTCAAAAGTTTGGATCTCAAGAGTTGACAATGTAAATTTGTTTTCTCTATCAGTATCCATACGAACAACTCTCTTAACTCGAACAGTGTGCTAGCACTCCCAGTGTTTGTTCTTCTTTAAACGTTAGTTTTTCTTTTTATAGGATGTTCCGTGGCTTTCAAAATGTTTTTGCCTTCAGAATTTTTCTAACTCTTTCCTCCTTCATAAAAGATGTCTCTATCCATATATAGTATATGGATAAGGGTTTTCATCTTCTACATAAAAGTCTACGAAAATTTAATTAAATTTATCTCATAAATTTAATCCATGATATCATATCTAATTTGAATTTATCTTATAAATTTAAATTATAAAATTGATATGATATTCTCTAATATCATATAAAATTAAATTTAAAACTAACATAATATAATATAATATCACATATGCATATTATAATATATATATATATACACACATATATATATATATATATATATTTATATGTATATATATCAGATACACACACACATATAAATATATATATATATATATATGTATGTATGTATGTATGTATATGTATATATATAATTATATTTTGAATTTTATATTTTATATAAATATTTATCAAATAAATATTTAAATATATATATAATTCATTTACCCTATATTATATTTATTGAATTCAGACATATTTTAGATTCAATAAAATTGGATATCATAACTCGAGTTGGGCTGTTCTTATGTGCGACCCTATAGGCTCATATGAAATTAACAATAAGCTAATTATGTTATTAGCCCACAAATCACAAGTGGCCTCTAACCAAACATTGTAACTACCTAATTTACATGAGAATCAATGATTTAATGTAACCTATCATATAACGGTATCGCATCTCTTTTGTCAGGCTATATTTCGGTCAAGTGTGAAATATGAAATTGTCATTCTTCTTTACTTTACCGTTACTTTCTCCATTTCTAAGTGGATTGATTGTAGTAATGAAAAAAAAAACTTTTCATTGTAGTATAACCATACATTTTCTTATTCTTACTCATCGAGGGACCCGATAATATCTCTCACTTAATGTGAGGGACAAATTCCATCATGACCACTCATATTTCTCTACATAAATATCACTAAACTCAATCATAACCTTTATGATCACTTGATCAAATGTGACTTTTGACTAGATCAATGGTCAGTAATTATCATGTAGGAATCCATGATAATCTCAGGTCAAAGGGTTTAGTAATACAGTTACATATGATATAAGCTTATAACTTGTACCATGCAACTTTTTCATAGCAGCTCGGTCCAACACCTTATACTCTTTCAAGTGCCTATGATTTTGATTTGTATCTCTATAATTAATCAAAGTCATACTAGTCTTGTTTTATCTATGACTCCTCATAGATGATCGACTAGGGATATTTAAGACAATCACTATATTTTATTCAAGGATACAGTTATTATATTAAACATGTAATTGATATGATAACAAAAGAGAAATTCATTAAATAATAATGTGCATAGTATAATGATTGATTTTAGAGCATAATTTTTAACATATTTGTAATGACTGATATATGAACTCTTTTCTTGAGATATCGAGGCAATATTAATAGAATAATTGCATTCAATGGTATTTTTGTGTACTATTCACTGCTATCAAATTGGCGATCGTGACAAATTATTATTTTTACTATTGGTTTGGCTCCTCTATTTATAATTTTTGGGACTTTTTGTTAAAACTTTGATATATATGAAAAGTTGTCGTGTAATATATATGTAGCCGATATAATGGAATAAGACTTGTTATTGTTTGACATGTGAGTAGGAGTTGAATCATCTTATACTTGGTCTTGAGTTTGAGTTTTGGAATATAAAGTCATATTAAAAAAATTGCCAAGGAGGATTTGATTTAGTTTGAGGGGGTGATAATAATATCCCATATTTTTCTATATATGAGTGATAGAATAAAAGAATATATCATCATGCCATGCATTTTATGCAATATTTTAAAACATTGGCTCAATTTTTTTGCCTAGAAAAGAAAAAAACAAGGATTTCAGAAATGCTAGAAAAGATTGTGCTAATTGCTAAGATTGCGTGAGCCATTTAAGGCTTGAAACCAGATTCAATGCTATCAATTTGAACCAATCAATATTGTCAGTATTAAAACTAGATAGTTCAAATTTAATATAATTTTATTTTAGGTTAAGGGTTATTTTTTCTCCTACACTGTCTACGAAAAGTTACAAATACTTTTAAACTCAATTATAGATTAATTCTGTTCCTCTTAGAGATTTTCTTTCTCATCATCTTATTGTTTTCCCACCGTTAGTGAGACCCGCATTATATTTTATTATTATAAAATATTTGAGTTGAGGGGTAAAATATGGACATTCGAATAGAAGTTGAGGGACAAAAATGATCCTTAATCTGATAAAAAAATATTAAAAAATAATGAGACTTATTGATGATTAACAGATTTTAAGTGTTTTAAATGTCAGGTGATGGCAGAGGAAATCTTTAAAGTTAATAGACATAATTGACCTATACTTAAATTTAAAGATATTTTTGACCTTTCGTATACAGTTCAAGGATAAAAATGACCCTTAATCTTTTTACTTTTTATATTTTATTAAATTATTATTTTAATATGTATAAAATTTAATGCAAAAATAATCTTATAATTGCTTGGTCTATTTGGTGGGATGGAATTGACACCAGAGAAGAGAAAGTTAAAACATCCCATTTTAGAAAACATAATTTGATAATGAAAGCTATCTTAGATTCCGTAAAGATAAGGAAGGCTTAAAGTTTCAAGCTCAAACTTTGCTTTCCTTAACTTGATATTTATAGAATTTTTAACTAAATTCAAAAATTCATAACTTATTTTAAAAATCTCTAATTGAACTCATTCTTATTTCCTTTTAAAGTTAAATGAGTCCTCTATACATGAAAAAAAAAAAGAATACTAAACTTGACTTTGACTAAGACAATTGATTCTGTTTTCTCTTATAGATGAATTGCTCTATTTTGTTTTTGCCAGTCTTCCAGATTCAATTTTTCCACTTTGAAAATTCATATCTTGAGAATACTCATCCGTACTATGTGATCTAGGACTTATTACAAATCCCTAGGTGTCTTTTATAAGATAAAAATATTCCACGTGACTTTTGCTTCTTAATTTAGTACAGTTTAATGAATTTTCAAAATTGTTTTGTCCTTAATCATACTGAATCCATATTTCTTTATCCTATCTTGCAAAATTCATATCTAGAATTATAGAACTCTTATTGACATGATCTTAGACTCTTTGGAACCCTTATGACTTTATTTATATGGAAAAAATATGAAACATACCTTTAGACTTCCCAATTGACATAGTTTATTTAATCTTTAAGAATGTCTTATCTGAGCTACGTACTAGATTCATATTTTATGCACTGACTTGAAAAATTCAAAACTTGGGTTATAAGGATCCAATTAAGATGATCTAAGGCTATAGGAATCTTAATAAGTCTATTATAATAGAAAATATTAAACTAGACGTCGTTTGCATACTAGATACATGTTAATCAATAGGCGTACCATTGTCCAGAAAACACTCCCTTGGTTTCAGATTCTCAATCACTAATTTGTTAGATTTATAACATGTGTTCCAGAACATCAATTAACATGGTGCCAAGTTTATATTAAACTCGATTAATTGTCTCTAATGTCATCATAAAAATTTCCTTGTCCATTGGATTCGTTTAAGTCAACATTGGGAACCAAAATAACATTATACTTCTGAATAGGTTCATGTTCCAGTGTGATTAATTTGATCTTATAATAGTCATACAAGACTAACTCATATTATGCAAACAACATTTCCCATACTTCTACTACTACTTCAGGGGTCATAGATACAGAGCATGGTATCACACTATGACAATCTCATGCACTTGTCAAAATAGATTTTGGTGAGTGAGACTGTGACAATATCAGTAGCAAAGCATATATTTACTCATAGTATACATCGCTAAACTAAAGCAAGTTGGCATACTAACATGCATGCCAAATAATCTGGGTGTCATGACTAAAACATAAAAGGATGCTATGGCATGAGACACATCAATTTCAAGCCTGCTTAACTTTAAATATAAATTCAACAACTACATAAATTAAAAGTCTTCTCACGCATTCAGCTGAAACAATTTAAAGAACATAATTGAATAAGTTTGCTACCTTGTTTCCCTCTAACTTGAGATAACCTTTTTCTTTTTCCTATCGGCTTGAGTTTGTTAGATTCTGTGTCCAAAGGGTTCTTTCTGCTTCTCTTTAATTTCCCTCACACTCCCTCTAAGTGATGGGTTGATAGCCAAATGAAAGAATGACCCATTTGTATATATAAGCCTTGAGTAAGTGGTGGATTCATCATCAATTACCACTAAATAAAGTAAATTTTATTTCTAAAATTCTTAATGCTGCCACCTTTCTCATTTCTTTCAATTGTAATGCTGCCACTAAATTTTTTTTTTTTGGATGGGCTATGAATAATGTGGTGTGTCAGGTTTATTGAAAAATTTCTCACAAGATTACAAGCAAAAACCCACAACATTCTACTTATATGAGAGCTTACATGTTACTTATAAGCTGCAAGGTCATAGGCAATTTTTGGAATTTTTTAAACAGCTCACCTAAAACTAGTATTCTAGAATTTTTACACATCTCACCCCAAACTAGTACGGCAGATATAAATGTAGTTTATTAGAAAAATGCTCTTAACTAGTTAGATGGCCAAAACACTTCAAGCTCTCAGATATTCAAGATTACAATAATGATATTTCAGAAGGTACACGGTTAGGCTTGTAAGGATAATGATACGTTACTTATTCTCTTCATCTCTTGTATTTAAATTCAGATTCAATCTTCATCTTTTTGTACTTGAAATATTTGAACATATATAACGCTGCTCCTCGATCTCGGAAATCGGATATCAACGTCATTTTTCCATTTGTGTCTGAAAGCAATTAATCTTATCCGTTCTTGGTTCCAACGACCAATTGCCTTGTAATCATCATAAATTATTCGTTACGTTGTTGTTGTTAATTTTTTTTTTAATAAATGACGACAATTATCTTAATCAATCAAGATTTGGTTGCCAACAATTTCAATCTCTGAAATACTCCCTTCATTCAAAAATATAAGACATCTTTAATCGAATATCATCCCCACTAAAGTAGTTACTTACTTTCAAACTAACCCTCTCTTTTTATATTTATTCATATTAAACACCCTACAATAAATATAAAGTCACCATCAATACGGGCATTTTTTTAAAAAAGACAATGATTACACTTCGAAAGATTAAAAATGCTTTAAATTTTTTAACATCTAACTCTTTAAAAAATACCTTACTTTTTAAACAGAAGGAGTAATTTTAAGATTATTTGTTAGGCTAAAGTATACATATAATCCTTTAATTTTATACAACGTTTCATTTTAGTCTCTTAATTTTATAAAGTATTTTTTTAATCCTTTAACCCTAATATTGTTAGCTTTTCCCCCAATAAATTTTTACATTGAATTTTTAAATATTGACAAAACCTTCTGAAATGTTGATATATTAAATTTATTTTTTTCAAAATAATAATAACTGACACAAAAAATAATCATTTGAAACTAACGATATTAGGATTAAAAGACTAAAAAATATTTTATAAAATTAAAGAATTAAATTAAAATTTTATATAAAGTTAGAGGATTAAAAGTATGTTTTATCTTATTTGTTATTGTACAAAGTAGTAACTGGTTGACTAAAAGTTAGAGGTCAGATTATATTATCATTCTATTGAAAACAAAACGAGATCAATAAATATAACCAGTTTAAGAGCTCAAGAGAAGTCTCCAAACTATAGCAATGCATCTCTGATTTTGCTTAATGACAAAATTTATGTATTTAGCTTTATATATTCAATATATTTATATCCAATTAAATCATAACAACTGAATCTTAATATGTGAGTAAAATCAATAACAGAAATTTATTACAGACTAAATAATTTATAAAAAATTTATATATTTTAATTTAATTGAAAACAAACATATTAAGTATGTAAATATAAGTATATAAGTTTTTTCCTTGCTTAATACTATAGATGTTAAAAAATATAAGGTATTATTTTTTATGAGGTTAGATGTTAAAAATATATATGACATTTTTAGAGAAGTTTATAGTTGTAGATCAGCCATAAATTATAGTTAAAATAAATAAATAAATTTAATATTAAATCTCATACACTCAATTTTTAATCTAAGAGTGAGAGAAAGATATAAGGAAAAATGATTGTCAATGGTTAGTCGTCTAAAGAGTAATATCACATTGCTTTCTTGGAAGAGGCCCTTACTTTTTTGCAGAGATGACTTGTTTAGTTCTGAAAAACTGTCGCATTTCTTATATTGTGTGGTAGGATAACTCTCGAAAACAATATCCTCGTACAATTCAAATCAGATTTTCTACCCGATTTTCCAACAGAAACATCAAGATTCTGACTATATTGGTCACACAAAACAAGACAAAACAAGAATGAATGTAACGCACGTAGAACAGGGTATATAATAGGAATGGAACTGAGTAATTAGGAGGAGGCAGCTAGAGACGACTAAAAGCAAAAATTAACGAGAGAGCTGATAGTCAGCACCCACCTAACCCATTTAGAAAGTTGTCAGGTTGATCACATGATTAACAGTGTAATCCAAACCCAAACCATTATTTTAATTACTGTTTTTACTCTAATAAATATTCCCATATTAATATTACACCTCCACATATGAGTCGTTCACTCGTCGGATTCTTCTTCTTGTTCTTCTTATAACACTGTTACTGTCAGTGTCAGCCATATTTGATCATTTTTAATCCTTAATACTAGTACACCACCCACCTCTTTCCCCACCATTATCATCGTCACTATTATTAATCACTGCTACTTTTCTTCCGACAAATGGCTGCGACAAACGACGGAGAGTCTCATCAGACAGAACAAAACATCATGGCTTCACTGTCAAAAACCGTTTTTGTCACTGGAGCTGCCGGTTTCATCGGTTCCTGGCTCGTCATGAGACTCCTTGAACGTGGCTATACCGTTCGAGCCACCGTGCGCGACCCTGGTTCAGTTCCAGTCCCTTTTTCTCATGTTCTTTCCCGTCTTTATTATAAAAAAAAAACCCTCGCTTTAATCATTGGGAATTTATTTATGATTTTACTTATATTTAAATAATTTTTTTCTCATGTTTACATTACATTATCTCTCATAAATAATGACTTTAAATAAAGATAATATTAAAAAAATTAATTAATATCCAATTAAGTAACTTATAATCAATGTTTAATGTTTTAAAATTTAAATCGGATTTTAACTAGTTCTCATGATTTAACTAGTAGTTGAATCAACAATTGAACCAGTAATATGATAATTATATATATATATATATATATATTAGAAATATTGATAATATCATTCATAGTTCATAATTGTCCAATCATAACATATGAAATTATGAATTTTCTCAAATATTTTTTTATTTATCTTATTTATCCTTTTAAAGAAAATGAGTTTTTATTTTTCTTAACTCTTTCATTCATATATTGCCAATAAATAAATTACACAGTCAAAATTTTATTAGAATAACTAAGAAGTAAGTTGATATTAATATTTCTAAATAAACGAGCCAAATCGAATCGCTTTTATATTTATGCGGCGATCTGACTCTTAAAATGAAGGAATATATTGCTATTTATCACATGGGTTTTGTTTTTTGTTCCTTCTTCATAAATTAATGAATTATTGGATACTCGATGATGGATATTTGCAGCCAACATGAAGAAGGTGAAGCATCTGGTAGAATTGCCAGGTGCTGACACGCACTTGACTCTGTGGAAGGCAGACCTTGCTCGAGAGGGAAGCTTCGACGATGCCATCAATGGCTGCTCTGGAGTTTTCCACGTGGCGACCCCCTTGGATTTCGATTCCCGTGACCCTGAGGTTTATTCTTCTTCTGCTGTTTCTAACATGCAAGCACGTGTGAAAATTGATCGTTTTAAAAATTTTTTCATTAACCTATCCCTTTCTCATAAGTAGGTGAGAATGAGTACACCACGCACGCAAGCATATTAACTGAATTCAAACCTAAAACCTCTTTTAAAAGATAGGGGTGATGTTGTTATTAGAATAATCACTAATATAAAATATAAAATTTAATAGGTATTTTCTACATCAATTAAAAGACAAACGATATAAAAAATTAAAACGGTAGTTTATAGTTTTTACAATGGGTGAAAAGAAAATTGATATACAAAATACTTTCTACAACTGGTGAATAGTCACTCACTATAAAAAAAAACTTTCTACAAAAGGTGAAGAACACCCATTGTAAAAAATTAATTTCCTATGGTGGGTGAAAAATAATTAACAAATCATTTTTAATCACTGCAAAAAATTATTTTTGTAGTAATTAATTAATCATTGATTGATTGTGAAAATTGATCTAAAAGCTTTGTTAAGACCAAGGAGTGTGGGATTTACCATCTATTTGGAATATTTAAAATAGAAAAATTAAGAAAAAAATTAATAAGCAAATCCATAAAATTTTGTTTAATTTTAAATCGGGTTTTTAAGTTTATCTTATTTTAACTAAGCTCTTGTAGTTTAAACCGTTAGATATGTCAATCTTTGAATGTCAGAATTATTAATGAATGATTAATTTTTCAAAATAAAATCATTTTCAAAGAAAATTGAGGAAGTAAGTACCTGTAAAATACTAAAAGGACCTGCAAACTAATTTTCCTATTTAAAAAAAAGGAAAAGACAAAAGTTGATAAAAAAAAAAGGCATTTTTCCACATTGGTATAGAGTTTTTTTTTTATTTTTTTAGTTTTTCCTTTAATTTCTTGAGAAGAAAATTGGGGAAAGGTAAAGGTAGAAAATAATTTGTCTTTTTCTTCTAATTCTCTGTTTCATTATTTTTTCCTTCTACTTCTAATTCTCTTTTGGTGCAAAGTTTTTAGAGTACTTAATTACGCTTAAATAAATAGTATGAATTTGATGGGGAGGTGGCAGAACGAAATGATAAAACCAACAATAAATGGTTTATTGGACATAATGAAAGCATGCCTGAGGACCAAGACAGTGAGAAGATTGGTATTCACATCTTCGGCTGGAACTATCGGCATCACGGAGCACCACAAGCCTGCGATCGATGAGACTTGTTGGACCGACGTTGACTTCTGTCGTGGAGCCAAGATGACTGGTTGGGTTAGTCATTCCGTATCTCTCTCCCATGTTTCGTTAATTACTTTATTGTTCAACGTTTTTATTAGCCATATGAGATATATTATGGAAAAAATGATAACAAAATGTTTTTAAAATATATAAATAATAATTTAGTCTTTCAAAATATCATAATTTCTCTGAAGTCTTTAGAAATTTTTCTATTATTAATAAATTTAAATAAATTATTAAATTATCGTTGTTGAAAATAAATGATTCATAAGTTTTGTTTAAATATTCACAACTTTACTTCTTTGTGATTTGCTGTTACATTGTTATAAGTATAAGAAAAAAAGTTATGAATATTTAAATAAAACTTGTGAATCATTTATTTTCAACAAGGGTGATTTGGTAATTCACATAAATTTATTAATAATAAAAAAAGTTCCTAGAAACTTCAAGAAAATTATAACATTTTGAGAGATTAAATTGTTATTTATACATTTCAGAGGAATTTTTTTGTCATTTTTTCTATATTATTTTTAGGAAAAAAATAAAGAAATTAAATATTTTCCAGGTGTATTTCGTTTCAAAGACACTGGCAGAGAAAGAGGCATGGAAATTTGCCAAAGAGCATAACATGGATTTCATCAGTGTAATTCCTCCTCACGTGCTCGGCCCCTTTCTCATCAACTCAATGCCTCCTAGTTTTATTACCTCTCTTTCTCCCATCACTGGTAATGCGCTCATATTAATTCATTATTCCTTTTATTAATTTCAACATTGAGTACTTTAACTCTAATCATATTTAATGCACTCTAATTGTAGGGAATGAAGCCCACTATTCAATCCTGAAGAAAGGCCACTTTGTTCATGTAGATGATCTCTGCATGTGTCACATATTCTTGTATGAGCATCCTCAAGCACAAGGAAGATACATATGCTCTTCCCATCAGGCCACCATTCATGAAATTGCCAACCTGCTTAATCAAAAATACCCACACTACAATGTCCCCACCAAGTACACAACCTTTCTTGCTTATTAATCATTTGGTCCGCATATTTTTGATTTGTTTATAATTCAGCTTTTAAATTTTGACTAAGTGCAACTTAATTCTTATAGTTTGACTCAGTTGTAGTTCAGTTTTTGAATTTTAACTCGGTACACCTCAATTCCTATAATTTTAAATATTTAAAATATTAGTCTTTATGTTTCTAAAAATAACTTTAGTCCTTATAATTTTATTTTTTGAATAATAGGGATCAACAATTTCAATAATTAAAAATAGGTATAATTCCTTTGGGATCCCTCACAAGACAATTAAATGCCATAAGATCTATTAACAACTTACGAGAAGAAAATGACAACTACTAAGTTTTTAATGAATTGAGTTATAACCAAATTAAAATTATAGAGATTGAGTTATATTGAATCAATGTTTAAAAACTAAGTTATACCCATAGAGATGAGATGATTATTTTTTTCATTAATTTATTTTATGTGAGTGGATGAATCCATGTTGGACTGATTGTTGTAAGCTCGAATGATGATTTTGTTTGTAGGTTTGAGAACATTCCGAAGAACTTAGAGATTGCACACTTCTCTACCAAGAAGATAAAAGATTTAGGGTTCCAGTTTAAATATAGCTTAGAGGACATGTTCACTGAAGCTGTTGATACTTGTAGAGAGAAAGGACTTCTACCCAAGTCTGCTGAAACCCCCTCTAATGGCTCAGCTAATTAAAATTATTATATTTACTATTGGATTGGCGTCTCTATTTATAATTTTTGGGGCTTTTTGTTAAAACCTTGATATATATAAAAGGTTGTCATGTAATATATATGTAGCCGATATAATAGAATAAGACTTGTTATTATTTGACATGTGAATGGGAGTTGAATTATCTTGTACTTGATTTTGAGTTTGAATTTTAAAATATAAAGTCATATTAAGAAAAAATGCCATGGAGGATTTGAATTAGTTTGAGCAGGTGGTGATAATAACATCCCATATTTTTCTATATACTAGTGATAGAATCAAGAAATATACCATCATGCCATGCGTTTTTTGCAATATCTTAAAACTTTGGCCCAATTCTTCTGCCTAGAAAAGTAGAAAACAAGGTTTCATAAATGCTAGAAAAGATTGTGCTGGCTGCTAAGATTGCATGAGCCATTCATTTGGGGCTCGAAGCCAACTTTAATGCTGATTAATTTGAACCAATCAAGATTGTCAGTATTTAAACTGGATAGTTCAAATTTAATATAATTTTATTTTAAATTAAGGGTTATTTTTATTCCTAAATTGTATATGAACTGTGACAAATGCCTTTAAACTCAACTATAGGTCAATTATATTCCTTAACTTTAAACATTTTCTTTCCCATCACCTTGTCATGTTCTCATAATTAATTGATCGTTAATGGACTTCACATTATATTTTATTATTATTTTTTATTATAAAACATTTAAGTTGAGAGGCAAAAATGGACATTGAAATAGAAGTTGAGTGGCAAATATTACCCTTAGCTTGATAAAAAATATTAAAAAATAGTGAGGCTCACTGATGACTAACGGATGTTAAGTGTTTTTAATGTCAAGGTGATAGTGGAGAAAAAATTTAAAGTTAAGAGACAGAATTGATCCATAGCTGAGTTTAAAAGTATTTTTGACCTTTCACATACAGTTCAAGGAAAAAAATGACCCTTAATCCTTAATGACCCTTAACCCTTTTACTTTTTATATTTTAATAAATTATTATTTTAATAGGTACAAAATTAAATGTAAAAATAATCTTATAATTGTTTGGCCTATTTGGTAGGATGGAATTGAGACTAGAGAAGTGAAAGTTGAAACATCCTATTTTAGGAACTATAATTTGACAATGAAAGCTATCTTAGGCTCCATAAAGATAAGAAATGCTTACATTTCAAGCTCAAACTTTGTTTTCCTTAACTTGATATTTATAGATGATTAAATTCAAAAATTCATAACTTATTCTAGAAATCTTTGATTGAGCTCATCCTTATTTCCTTTTAAACTTAAATGAGCCCTCTATATAGGGGAAAAAAAATCTAAACTTGACTTTGACTAAGCTAGTTAATACTATTTTCTCTTATGGCTAAATTTCTCTATCATGTTTTTGCCAGTTTTCCAGATTCATTTGTTTCACTTTGAAAATTCATATCTTGAGCATACTTATCCAAACTAGGTGATCTAGTACTTATTATAAATACTTAGGTGTCTTTTTATAAGATAAAAATGTTCCATATGACTTTTGTTTCTTAATTTAATACAGTTTAATGAATCTTCAAAATTGCTTTATCTTTTGTCATATTGAATCCAAATTTCTTTGTCCTATCTTGCAAAATTCATATCTAGAATTATAGAATTCTAATTGACATGATCTTAGACTCTTTGGAACCCTTATGACTTTATTTATATGGGAAAAATATGAAACATACCTTTAGAATTCCCAATTGGTATAGTTTATTTAATCTTTAAGAATGTCATATCTAGGCTATGGATATTGGATCCATATTTTATGGACTAACTTGAAAAATTCATAACTTGGGTTATAGGGATCCAATTAAGATGATATAGGGCTATAGGAATCTTAATAAGTCTATTATAATAGAAAATATTAAACTAGATGTTGGTTTGTATCCTGAATATATGTTAATCAATAGGGATACCATTACCTAAAAAACACTTCACTAGTTCCATATTTCTAATCACTAATTTGTTAAATTTATAACATGTGTTCCAGAACATCAATTAAGATGGTCCCAAGTTTGTATTAAACTTGATTGTGTCTAATGTAATCATAAAAATTCCTTGTCCATTGGATTCATTTAAGTCAACTTTGGGAACCAAAATAACATTATACTTCTGAATGGATTCATGTTCTAGTGTGATTAATTTGATCTTGTATAGTCATACAAGACTAACTCATAGTATGCAAACAACATTTCCCATGCATCTTCTATTGGATCATGTGTTTTGATGATTACAAAATTAAAAGAAGAAAAATTTATTATGTGTGCAGATATAAAGAATTATGGATGAAAATAAAACCTCAAGAGTATGAAGAATCAAAAGAAGATGAAGAAGTTTAGGATAAGTAATTTATATTTTCTTAAATTTAATGTGAAAACTTAGAAAGCTTAATCACTTTTCTTAATCGTAAAATGAATGTATCATTTGTCTCTTTTATGTGCAATAAGACTCACTTGAATATGTTAAGGCTTACAAACAATATCCTTCTTGCGTATGGTTTTTCATAAAAGATGTTTGCATAGTAAAAGGTAGAATCACGCATGATTCTGTAGGTTACTCACGAGTTTTTGTATGTTAGGCACATTAACAGCTAAATCACATGAGTGTGAATATATTGTATGGTGCATTAAGCTTTGTCTCTACATGCAAAACCACGCGTGAAAGGCTTTATTGTCCATGCAAGTTTTAGCATCTTTGCTTCATTGTATTATGACAAAGTGCAAAACCATGCATGAAACTGATAGTAGCCACGTGTGATTTATCACTTATTGAACAATCATATTTGTTTTGTTAAGTCTTAAATCTTCTTAAGCCAAGCCAAAATGGTTCACATGTATGATCATTGATTTACAAATTTATATCTCTTGATCATATAAAATCTTGCTTGACTTATGCATTGTTCCATGTGTGAATATGCATAAGACAAGTTTATACATTATTGCCTACAATTTCATGCATGATATCATTCTAGTTCCGCACGAGTTTTGATCATAATAGAATGACTTTGATATTCTACCATCCATATCACGCGTGAGATAATAGAGGTTCCATACATGATTTGTCACACAGAACTAAGTAAACTAATTTATCTACAAGTAAGCTAGAAAAGTAAATGAGTATGAAAAGTAGGCTATAAAACATTTAATTGATCAAGAAGGCATATAAGCACATATTCATATTTATACATTGCATGATTATTGCACTAGCCTTATTTTCTCCATGTTACCTTTGACTAAATTTGTGGGCTAACAATTCAGTAAAACCAAGTCTATGTGATTAAATTGGCCTAAACTCACTAATTATGGGAGATAGCTTGGCCAAAGGTGCCTATGCCCACTCTTAAACCATAGATTCCTCCTTTTCAAATACTCTAACTTTCATATGCCCAATCTACCACTTATGATAGTATTAGGACTTTTATATAAGAAGAAATAAACACTAGGGCCACTAATGGTGTTAATGAGTACAATATGAATTTATGAAATTATCCTTGTAGGGTAAACTCCTACCATTTTACAATATGATCATGCTATAACACAATGTAATATAACATTCATTTTCTCAACATATTGATATTCACATTCTATAATGTTATGCTCAAGATTATCAACTTATAAAATCATTTTCACAACTATTCATACATGTATATATAGTTTTTAAAATTATTCCCACTTCATATAAGTTTTCTAAAATCATACATGTGCTTTTATATGCGTAATTACATATCAAAACAACATATTACTCTTTTCACAAAACTCACAACAATCTAAACAAGTAAGTGAAATGATTAGATCATTAAATTATCTCAAACCTTTAGTCACAAAAAGAGTTACCTATGAAAATTACACACTCTTTTAGCCTCCAATTGCTCAAATGGTATCCAAGCAATAATAATCTATATGATTGAACACTAATAATTAATATCCAACTTTAACATACACACTTTTAAGCTTATATTAGTTATCTACACTCTCCACCTTCTACAGTTAGCTTAACCAAAGCTTTAACAATCTTCTATTGGCTTCATTTATCTTTCATAAACTTAAATAACATTAAAGTATGGTTCACATTGCTCCTGAAATCCCATTTTAAGCATAAGGTTCATCCAAAACCTAGTACCCAACTCTAAAACATCATATAATCTTTAAACCTAGGTATAGAAACTCAATTTAACTCTTATTAGCTTAGATAAATCCATTGAGTTTAGTCAAAACCCAACCAATAATGAAAGAAGAAATTTTCAACTCTTAAACCTTAGAAAATTCACATAAGAGAGAAGGAAAAGTGATTGGGAAGCTTACCTAAATATTAATCTAGCTCAAATCACCTCTTTTTAAAAAGCTCCCCAAGAAAGCCTTAACAATAGGGACGAATCTAGAAATCATTGTGTGGGGGGAATACTAAAATTTTATCAAAAAGTAAGGAGACTAAAATTAATTTTATCATTTTTATAAATAAAATGTTACTTAATTATAAATGAAATTTTGTAGCATGGGGGGCCATAGCCCCTGTTGGCTCCTTGTGGATTTGTCACTGCTTAGCAGTCCCCAAGTCACACTCCCTTCATTCTTTTTGTCTTCCCTTTCTCTTACTCTATTTTTTTGAATAAGCTCGTGACATATTTATTCAAAATTTGTATGGTCTGCCAAGGCAAACCATGTATGTGCCACGACAGAATGCATATTGAGCCTATAGAGATTTGGGTCCTAATCTTGGGCTCGATTGGCCTGATAATCTTAAGGTTGTCTAATGTTCCAACAAGTCTATTAGTGTCCCGACGACTAAATTAATTCAATAAATTCTTTAATTGACTAATTTATCCTCATTTAGTCCTTAAATTCTAAATTTAAAAATTTGAGATATTACAATTTCACTTCTACTTCCACTTCTATTTCCACTTATTAAAAAATTTGTCAAGGGATGAATATTGAAACTTAAGTGAGCTCTAGTGTAATTAGTTGAGCTTAAGGACCCATTTGTTTAATCTTTTTCATGAAAACATCATTTATTTTTTAAAAAATATTTTTTAAATTTTATTATATTTATTTAAATTTTTTAAAATAATCAGAATATGAAAAAATATATTTATAATTATTTTAAAATGTCACTTTAAATATATTTTGAAAATAATATGATACACTAGGTGAGAGAAATTATCATAAAAATGCAAAAATTATTATAAAAATAATTAAATAATAAATTATTTTTCATAAATAGAGATTCAAAAAGATATTATAACATTTAAAAATAAATAAATACTAATACAAAGCTAAGAGAATATGGATTTAAATTTAGTGACTGTACTTAATATAGACATTAAGTGCATACAGCATCTGAACCGCTAAAATTCATATCAATAATTCTAAATTTATATTTCATTTGATATTAAAGAATAAGTAAATTTATATAATTAATTTATATTTTAACAGTTCAAATATTATAGATACTCAGTGTCTATATTAAATGTAGTTACTAAATCTAAATATGGGAGAATAGATTAGTATATCCCGCCTACAATAGATGGGCCGGGCCGTACTAGCAAAATGGACTCATTAGTCTCACCAAAAAAAAAAAAAGGCGGGTTATGCAGGCTCGCCAGCCAGCGCGGGTTATTTTTCCTTAAATTAATTTTTAAATTTTTTATTAACTTCCCAGAAATACCTGACCTAATCACGCTTCCTTTTTCGCGGCCTCCAGTCTCCAAGCCCCTCGGAGACTCAACTCGGCCTCCATTCCCTCTCCGATTTCGTTCTAGGGTTCCGTCTCCGCTCGACCGCCTGCCACTCTTGCGAAGACAAAGCCGTCTGTGTCTGGAGTACACTGTGCCCCGCAGCCACCGCGCCCCCGCCATTCTCTGAAGTCTCGTTCTTCATCGTCATCTACTCCGGCGAAGAAGGGAATAGCATTTGTTAAGAAGAGCGAAGAGGTACCAAAAATCTGCTTACACCTCTGCCTTTTCCTACTGCTCTGTTAAGAAGAAAATAGCATTGTAAAAGTCCTTTTTTTTTCCCTTGCCTTGTGGCGTTCTTTTTAAGTTAATTATTCTGTTTAGTTGCTTTAAGTAATTGTGCTAAGAACATCATGTTTCGTTTTCTTTTGATTTTCGAATTGTTGCTTATTTTTCTAGCAGTCGTAGAATATATCGTAAGTGAAATCTGTCGGTGGGTTCTATTTCTATATGTTCGATGTACAAGTTGGAAACGGAATCAAGCAGTTGTAATATTAAAACTAAAGGCTTATTTTTTGCTGATATAAATTAACACTTGGGTGAATGTTTGTATCCTACATATCTGAGCTTATGCAGATTAAATGTCAATTAGTAAGATTTTCGATGATATATTATTTTAATTTTTATTTGGTAATGTTTCGGTGATTATGTGATACCAATTACCAAACCCAAATTGATGTTTGGCGGAAAAGCATTTTATGTTTTTCTTAATGTTTTTTTATGTGAGTTTTATGTCCTTAGATAAGTATTTCTACTCCTCAAAGGATAGGGAATTGAGAAGGGAAGCATGAAAAGAAACAGGAAAAAAGCACGTTTGGCCAGCTAGCCCACCAATGTGCAGGCTAGGCTGAGAAATTCAGCCCATGTTTCTTGGCTGGGCAGCTTGCCAAAAAATGGACTTGTTGCAGGTTCGCCACACCCCACAAGTGCTACGCTCTATACAATCCCTTGTAAATTTCACATTTCTAATATCCAGTCCAACTGTCCTGCTCTGTTACTTCGGTTCAGTGTCTTTTGACTATGCGTTTATGCTTGATTGATAGATCCATTATCTGTTCCTATTATGTGATGATTTTTTTTCACCTGTCTGATGTAATAATTTCAGGGTGGTATTAAATGTTCTAACTAAAATTTCAATAAGATGCAGGTTCCCGTTGTTAGAATACATCTTTGAAGTGAGGTATTGAATTGAAGTGGACCTGTTTCTTGACACTAAACGATAACCTAGTTCATATTTCCTGGTTATTTGGGCCATCATTATGGCCGTACATTCACAGCTCAGGCTTATTGGTTACTCACAAGATATTGTAGATGGGCAGCCAATATTAGTTTCTTCCAATTGTACTCCTGTCAAGGCTTGGAAATTTGAACCTGCGGGTCATGCTTTCCATTCTGCTGTACTTAAACTTCTTGGTGTAGAGGAAGAAAACTTGGATGCTGCTGATGATAAAAAAGTGGTTGATGATAATGAACATAATTATTTTCCATCATCTGATTCTTATAGCAGCAAGAGTAAAAAGAAATCTGGTTCTGGAGACAAGCAACAAGATCACTATGCATTGTTGGGTTTGGCCCATCTAAGATACCTTGCCACAGAGGATCAAATACGTAAAAGCTATCGTGAAACTGCTTTGAGGTATCATCCTGACAAACAGGCAGCACTACTTCTTGCTGAGGAGACTGAAGCTGCAAAGCAGGCAAAGAAGGATGAGATAGAAAGTCATTTTAAGGCAATCCAGGAAGCCTATGAAGTTTTGATTGATCCTGTGAAGAGAAGAATCTATGATTCCACAGATGAATTTGATGATGAGATCCCTACTGACTGCACCCTACAAGACTTCTTCAAGGTCTTTGGTCCCGCTTTTATGAGGAATGGGAGGTGGTCAGTTAATCAACCTGTTCCATCTTTGGGTGATAACAAGACTCCATTAAAAGAAGTTGATAATTTCTACAGTTTCTGGTACACCTTCAAAAGCTGGAGAGAATTCCCTCATGCTGATGAATTTGATCTTGAGCAAGCTGAATCTCGAGACCACAGGAGGTGGATGGAAAGGCAGAATGCTAAATTGTCAGAAAAAGCAAGGAAGGAAGAATCTGCGAGGATACGTGCTCTTGTTGATAATGCTTATAAAAGAGATCCTAGAATACTGAAGAGGAAGGAAGAGGAAAAAGCTGAGAAGCAAAGAAAAAAGGATGCTAAGTTACTTGCAAAGAGGCTGCAGGAAGAAGAAGCTGCTAGAATTGCAGAAGGGGAGAAGCGGCAAAAGGAGGAGGAAGAGAAACGAGCTGCAGAAGCTGCTTTACAACAGAAGAAGTTGAAGGAGAAAGAGAAAAAGCTCTTGCGAAAAGAGCGTGCTCGTCTACGAACACTTTCAGGACATATCACATCACAAAATTTACTTGGTATATCTGAGGATGATATAGAAGGTCTTTGTATGTCACTTGATACTGAGCAGTTGAGGTGTTTGTGTGAGAAAATGGATGGCTTACAGATGCTAGAACAAGCAAAAGTTCTCAGAGAAGCACATGATTACAAAAAAGATGGAGAAAATAAGAAAGGAGAAGAAACAACTGATCAACATAATGGTTCTGTCAAGGCTAATGGGAGTGCCTCACTGGGAAACTTGGAGAGGAAGGAAAAACCTTGGAGTAAGGAAGAGATTGATCTATTAAGAAAGGGAATGGTAAAATATCCCAAAGGAACTTCACGAAGATGGGAAGTTATTTCAGAGTATATTGGTACTGGACGATCTGTGGAAGAAATCATGAAGGCAACGAAAACAGTTCTCCTCCAGAAGCCTGATTCCTCCAAATCCTTTGATGCTTTTCTTGAGAAAAGGAAACCTGCACAATCAATTGCATCTCCACTCACAACTAGAGCAGAGTTAGAAGGGGAATCAACTCCTGTGATCTCCCATAGTGATGCTTCCTCGACAACAAATAACCCGGAGGACTCTAGCAGCAAAATTGCTGACAACCAAGTCTCCTCTGGTTCAGTAACTGCAAATGGAGTATCCTCTAATTCAGACCAAGATGTCTGGTCAGCTGTACAGGAGAGAGCATTGGTTCAGGCTTTGAAAGCCTTCCCGAAGGAAACTCCCCAGCGATGGGAAAGAGTTGCAGCAGCCGTCCCAGGAAAGACTATGAACCAGTGCAAGAAAAAATTTGCATTGATGAAGGAGAACTTCAGAAACAAGAAAAATGCAGGTTGATGTGATGAAGAAATGATGAGCTGATTCAATGATCCTTCGAAAGTAGAGCCATTTTTTGGGCCTCTTATGGGTGACTTTGTGATGCTGCTGTTTAGATCCCAAAGCTAATATTTTGAAGAGAAAGAGAGCCCCCCCTGAATATAGGTTAGTTTCAAATTCTTACTTCATATCCTTAGTGATGCTTAAATTTGATGGGTAGGTAATTTTCTACGTTCTTGTTGGATACTCTATACCATGGGTGGAATACAATTTTGTTGTATTTGATTACACAGAGAGTGAACATCATATTACAGATCAAACAGCAAATGCTAGTTAGCTATATCTTTTGTAGACGGAGTTGATATATCTTTTATAGATCGATTTTACTAGAGAAGTTTTCATTTGTCCTGCCTTTGCAATCGATATCAGACAATATATTCTCTCTCTCTGTTTTTTTTTTTTCCCTTTTTTTCCTGGTTTGAAAGCGATCTAAGCTGGAGACATGTTGGTCCGGGAGGGATCCTTTGAACTCGCAACCAATCCAAATATATGCACCTCAGGAATGCTAAACAAAAGCATGATGATCTACTTGAACCCTTGAGAATTGTTGAACAAGGACTCGAAGTGCAGGAAGACCTCAAAAGGTTGATCAAGCCTTAATAAGTCTGTTAGTATACCAAGTTGGTGCGAACCCACAATCAATTTGAATATACGCAGCTCAAGAATGTTAAACAAAGGTCCGGTGATTCACTTGAACCCTTGAGCACTATCGAGCAAAGACCTGAAGTGCAAGAAAAACGTTACAAGGTTAATCAAGCCTTGATAAGTCTATTAGATCTAAGAACCTTAGAGTGAAGGTCTCTCAACTCTAGAAAAACCAAAATGATGAAAATCATCAATTTTCAATTTCTCAAATTTGATTGCAAGATGAAGGGGTACAAAGCATTTTAGGTGATGCAATTCAAATTTTGACTTAATTACCTAAGAAATAGAAACAAAAAATTGAAAATAGTTAATTCTAGCTTAGGAAATTGTAAAGATTTAATTCAAATGAACTTAACAAACTCAAAAGTTGAATCTGCCAAAATTAAATCTAATTTTTGCACAATTATAAATCACTAAATATAATCCGCACTTTGGTTCAAGCCTTTTATTTGGAAGTCTCTACGCCCAAAATATGCATAGCAGCTCCATCTTCAGCCCAAAACATATTAGTGATGTTTTTGACATTTTCGTTTTGACTTGATGGGCCCATTGTCATTTGCTTTGTCGAAGTGTCTTGAACAAAGCCACACAAAACTTTTTTAATTCTTCTAGCTCTTGCTCTTGTTATTGGACCATTTGGAATCTGAAGAGGGTTTCTTGAGAAGTCAAAAACGGCTGACTCTTTTGCAGTGCAGGAAACGGGGTATTGTTTGACTTTGTTTCTAGGAACGGCATGCTGGAATGCATCACATCCTGATTTCTCCTCTCGTTGAAATTGAAGTTGAATCTATGCATTCCTATATAAAATTTATAAGAAGGCGTAGTGTGGATCATTTTCGGCTTTGTGATTCATTATACACAGAAAAATGTATGTTTACACAAGTCGAGTAATCTTGTGATTCATTATTCCTGTAAGTTGTGGAGAGAATGAACTTGCTACTTCTGTTCAATGTCAGACGAGTCAATATCCAGCTGCTGATACATTATTCCACTAGTCTTCCAGTTACATACAATTGTAAAATTCTAATACTATATTATGCAATAATAATAGAAAAAGTGATGTAGTAAATAATAGAGTATGTCTCATCTAAAATTTTAATGAGATGGATGTTAGATTCTGAGATTTTTGTGTAACTTGACATTGATCAGGCCCGTTTGGTTCACTTTTGCGTTTGAAAAGTCCTCTTAAGATGGGATTTACATGTAAATGTTGTTTGGTTTATTTTTGAGAACTTTTAAAGTAGTTTCGTCATATGTAAACAGTAGTCTTGAAAATATTTTTTTTTCCTTAAAATATAACTATGGCTTACTTTTGCTTTTTACATCTTGAAAGTGGGTGCATTTACTAAGGAAAAGACATTTTTAATTACCCATTTTTCCCATACTAACTTGGTATGCAAGTTGCACATTTTTCTCCACCCTCTTCCATTGAATCATAATCTGCATGCATTATTTATATTTATATTTTTATTAACTCTAATATTTATGTTAGATATCAAAATGAGCATTATATGTTGAACAATTAATCATGTTAATATTTAGTATTAATCTATATTGAATTATTTATATAATTTTTTTTCAATATATCAAACTTTATATATATATATATATATATTTATTTATTTAACCTATCAAATTTTATTTAATCATGCTATTCCAAGTTGAATTTTTTATTATTTTATTTAAAAAATATTGTTAATTCATTAAAAATATAATCATCATTTAAATATTAGTAATAATAGTAATAATTAGATATTAAGTTTTTAACATTATCTGAACATGGAAACATGTCTTGGCCCAGTAAGCTCTCGACATTCAACTCACATAAACTTTTTTTAAATCAAAATTTATCATATGTGTGTGTGTATTGAATTATGTTAATTTTTAATATTAATGTATGTTGAACTATTTATTATATAATTTTCTCCATTATAACAAACTTTATAGTTTTTATTTTTATTATGGCTAAAGTATACATTTAGTCCATTAACTTTACATAACGTTTTATTTTAGTCTTTTAACTCTATAAAATGTCTTTTTAGTCATTTAATCCTAGTTTGGACTTTTTCTTGGTTGAGAATAGAGTACAAATGATGTCACATTCTAATTATGTACAATAATTTCTTCTCAATTTATGTGCAACTATTGCAAAATACTGTGATTTGACTTAAAACTAAATGTTATAATAAACTAACTGTTATATCATTTTATTTACATAAGAAAGGTTTACTTACGTTTTATCCACCCTAATCGCTTGGGCAATAATTATGTAATCATTTTGATGATAAAATACTGAAACAATTGTATTGCTGATGTTGCAAGGATTTCCACTTGCTCTGTTTCCTTGGCAATCTGAGAAGCAGTTAGCTGAGATTTGCTTTTCTAGTTTTAAAGTATGGATTAGAGTATATGGCACACCACTAACAAAAGTTGATCCAACTGGTAAATATTTGATTCATAATTCAACATGAAATGCTGAAATGAGAACTTTGTTTGTGAGCGATATGTAAGTATCTCTATAAATAATTTAAGTTTGAAGGCATGCTCTGATACTAATAAGCTTTTGGGATTCAATTCACAATTTTTTTTTAATCAAAAAAGAGTATATGGCATACCAATGGGTAATATGGCGGGGGTTCATTCTTTCAATTTGACCAATGAAGTGCGGAACGATTCTATGACTTAGGATTGAAGTATTTATTTCAGAATGTAGAGTTGTGACTTAGCTATATCAGTTCAACCCCCCCCCCCCCCCCGGGAGGGGGGTCCCTCTAAATGACGAGTTCGAAGTTAAATAATGGTGAATCAGATGTGTGCTTGCCCGTGTTTGTGGGTTTCCATGGGCGATGAAATGCTATTAACTTCATATGCGATCTTTTTGAACTTTGTAGGTAGTTTTTCACGTAATAATTGATCTTTTTACAAAGAAAAGCTAATAGAGCAGACATGATCACATAAAGAGATAAAGGTGAAAAAGAACCAATGCTCCGTTTTTTGTTTTGGCCAAGAGATGCGAAAAGTTTCGACGGATAGTCAGATTTTGTATTCTTTTCATTTCTTTTTACTTTTTTCTATGAATTCAAAAATAGACATACAACATTTATAGAGCTCACTAAAGTGATTAGAATCCAAGAAACTCTTATAAGTCAAGAACCTCGCATTGAAAAGTACAAAGGATCCAAATCAGCTTTAACATCACATTTAAGCACTGACAATCAACATTTCCAAGGAAACAAAGGAAATCGAGGGGGGAAAGCTATGGTACAGAAAGAGGAATTTGCTTGACAGAACTTTTAATCCGCTCAAATGCTGTTCTTACTCTTTCCTTGAGGCCTTCATTTTCACTTTCAATATCCCCGCTTAATTTATCAAGCTTGGCAACATTCCCATCAACGTTAATTACTAGCTTCCCATTCTCTCCAACCTTAACATCTCCGAAGAGTGAAACTAAGAGTGCATGCATGACCTTCTCTGCCTTCTTCTCATTCTCTTCCTCAATCTGAGAAACCTCAGATTCATCCATTATTTTCGGCACCTCACGGTTGATGTTCAAAACCAAAGCCACAATTGAGTCTGATACCATGTCACTAATGGGATCTGATGTCCAATGCAAGGAGATGTGCTTGTCAGACTCATGCTTCACGGTCACTCGCCCATGGACTTGCAAAGTCGGTACTCCTGATTCTTCGTCTTCTGAAGACACTACACTCTCGTATATCTGTTTGAGCCGATGCTTTATGATGGTAAAGGCACTAGAATAAGGGATGGTTATTCTCTGAATGATGTTTGCTGTCGAAAGCTGCGAGAAGACGTGGAGATCATCAGGTGCCATTATCTGATAAGTAAAGCCTTTCTTTACAAGCAAACCACTGACAGTTTCACCAACTTCTGGAGTTTTTTCAGCCAGTTTCCCAATGGTTTTTGCCATTTTCTGAGAATTGAAATACATTTCAACAGATTGGCAGTTCTTTGGAGTAAGGACTTTGGTGTTTCGATCAGCAAATTGAGTGATGAGCTTCTGTTTGAGCCTTCCCATCTCGTTAGCCTCTCCATGAACAAGAATTATGTTGGGAGGGTTGAGCTCTTCTAGGAATGCACTTGTTTGAGCAGAGTCGGCATGAGCAGAAAAGGATATGTAGTGCACCTGCATGTTGAGGGGCGCGGCAAGTCCATTCATGAGAGTAACCTCCTTTGGTTCACTAATGATGGTTTTTGCAAGAGTACCTTCAACCACATAACCAGGTAAAATACATGCATTTTTCTTATCAGAGCACCACTTGTCAAATAATTGCCGTGATAACCCGCTTTGAAGCCCACCAGGACTTGCCATCACTACTGATGGTCCCACATCTTTGAAAGCATCTATGCTACTTAATGCTGATATGTGCTTAAAAGTGAAGGGGTTTGACTTTGCATTCTTGATCCTGTCATTCATGGAAAGGGTGTACGTCTCATAAACAGTCAAACACTTTTTCGCTAGAGGGGAAGCATAATAGATGGGTATATTCTGGAGTTCAGGATGGTTGGCCCAATATTCATCAAGAATCAGGAGGAGCTCCTGAGCACGACCGAGGGCAAATACTGGAATTAGGACACGACCCCCTTGAGAAACTGTTGAGTGGATAATATCAGTAAAGCGTTTTTCTCGTGTGTGTCGAGGTTGATGGTGCTGGACACCATAGGTTGATTCAATAATGCATACA